AGCCATTTCTAACATATATGGTCTTCAACAACATCCCCTGGACCTGCATGCAAAGGCCACAGAACACAAACGGTCATGGCCCTCAGTGGCAAGAGGGGGCAAATCTGTGGCTCTAAAACAAACATGGCAAAAAAAAGCCACAAAACACTAAAAACGGTACTGACCCCACTAATCCCTCAAGCCGCGGCACTTTCGCGCAATATACCACGCGTCGGCACGCGGCGCATCCGATGGTACGGCGACGAAGTCGCTATTTCTGACGGGCCGACCCTAAAACTAATGAACCCGAAACCAAAACGGAATTACCCTCGCGGCCCGCGGATCTGCAACAGCGGGACGCAACTGTGAAAGTGTACGCCTTGTCGGCACGCCGCGCATGCATTGGTGTGTCGTCGAAATCGCGTTTCGGGACCTGGGCGTCCCTAAAATTAGTACATCTAAAAAATTGAGCTCGGCCCGCGCCCACGATCTACCCTAAGCTGGACGAGCACCCGTCTGGCATGCGGTACGAGGCAAAGAATGGATGGCGAGGCGTCGTTTCCTAAAAAAAAAAAACCGCCAAACTCGGGTAAAACGGGCGGTTCCAGCGAGTTTAGCGGGTTCCTCGGAGGCGCCATGGCGGGCTACTTATTTACCACAACGATAATAATGTGCACTTCGAGTGAGGAGGGAAATGAAGGGGTTGGAGGGGAACGGCCGCATGATGCAGGCACCGATAAAAATTGCGCAAAAACGTTCTCAACCGCGTTCCACACCCTTCGGCCCTAACTGCCACGGCGACAAAGCAAAAAGTTACGTGCCGTTTTCGCACGTAACATGGTGTGCGACACCGTCATCATTCTGGTCCAGATGGATGTTTCGCGCGCTGAAAATGAGCCGTCCGAAGGGATCATTCACCTGGTTACCGCTACGGTCATTCGCCAACGGTAAAAGTTATGGTAACCGTAGGCGTACGCGTTTTCATTTCTTCATGCAAAATTACAAGCGATTCGCATAACATTGACGTGTTCATATTCAGTCTTCACCATTTTTTTACAATATTACTTCAGCGCGGAGTTCTACACACCACCGCACCGAATTTCACCGAGCGGTGTTCATCGACCCAACGGGATGAGTTTTGCACCAATTGCCCGCTAACTGCTCCGTGACTGCACGAATCGAAATTAGGGTAACTGCGGGAGATCGCAGGCAGCTCGGAAACAGAGGGCAATTAGAAAAAAACACCGCAAGCAAACTGCAGGGATGCGATATCGCCAAGCTTACCGCCGGCTGTTTCCCGGCGAACACCTGCAGAGTTGCGATGTAGCGGGGTTTTTGTTGCCTCTGGGCAGATGGAACCACTAGTAATGGTATTCTGTGCCGAGGAAGTTCCTGTCACCAGGCGGATGAAACGCTTGGGGTATCTGACTATGCGTCAAGGTGTCGTGTGACCAGCACGTCCTGTATTGATGAATCGGTGGGGGAATAGGGCATTGCTGCTGCTATAACAAACAAAGGAGACGTGGAATGACAAGTGGAGGCGTCTGGTAAGCAAATAATACACAGTGGAATCTGCGAGCATAGATCAGAGGGTCTCGAAGAGGCGTGTTTACTGTATGAATCTATCATCCAGGTTTCGCGTTTGAACTACCTTCGAAGTTACTATCTGCGCTCTCCTTTCAGTTCGAAAGGCTCTTAGAATCGTTGAAAGAGGCATGTCCGAAACGAAAAATCGAAGCACAGAAGGCTCCAGAATTACTTCGCGGCTAAATAAGCGAGCAATAGATGAATAGTAACTACGGTGTAGAGCGCTTGTCAGCTACGACTACCAGTAAGGAGAAAAGATCAAGAATTTGAGTGACATTCAATCATGAAGTATGGATGCACAAACCTAGATGAGTAGGAGGAGCAAGGTGAGGGAGTGAGCGAAATGGCGACACTGGGAAAACAGTTTTGCGAACGTAAAACCTCATGTTCACGAATTAAAGAGCAACAAGTTTCCAGGCTAGTCGGCTCGCTCGCTACTCATTGTGCTTCGGTGCTGAGTTGGTTTGGACGATCGGGCAGTTCTTGCGAAGCCAGCTGCTGGCAAGAACTGGTGGAGACTCGATGTGGATGAGGTGGCATGATGACGACGACGTTGGAATGCAGGGGACGAGTTTGACAGTGAGCGTACAGTTTTCGCGACCTAGATTGACTACTGAAGATGGATTACTCGAGAAAGAGGATGTGTACAGTTTTCTTCTGAAAGCCTAGTTCACCTGAACGGTGCCTCAGCTAGAAATTGTATTTGTTACGGGTGCAATGGATCTAAGTAGCAATAATTGCACTAAGGTGTCAAACGAGTACAAAATGTGAGCGAATGCATGAGCGAACATTTATACGCGAAACATGCAGACGGTAACGCGGTGTGTGCGAGCTAGCTAGTGCTGCACTGGAAGCGAGGCTCGGGCTAGTCCCGAAGCGTAGGCCGACACGGCCGGTCCAGCAGTGCGAGGTTTGGTAAAGCAGTGCGCACGAAGTCGGCGAAGCCCCGTTAGCAGTAACGGGCGAACAACGGCTGCTGCTGTATGCGGTGTTGCAGGGTGCGCTACGGAATATCGAGAAAATTCCTTACACTACCCCCTCACCCCTCAAGAAGCCCCCTCCGCTACGCGTGTGCGTGTATATCGCGGAAACCCCGGCTCCTCGGGTACACTTGCAGGGCAGGGTGGTTTTCGATGTTGGCCAGGGGCACCCAGCTATCTTCAGTTGGCGTGCGGTCCTTCCAGCGAACGAGGAATTCAATCCTCCTGATTCCCGTGGGGTGTCGAATCCGATGGCTCACGATTTTTTCGGGCTCGATGCTCGGTTCCGATGCAGGGCGAGTCATGGATGGCGGGCGGTGACGAGGCAGTTGGCTTGTGGTTGGGATGTATGGGCGAAGCAGGCTGACGTGGAACGAAGGGCTGATGTACCAGTCCGTCAGCAACAGTAGGTGGGCTGTCACTTGGGTAATCACGTGGCTGATTTGGAATGGTCCACAGTAGCGGGGTCGTACTGTACGACGGGAAGTCTTAAGTTCAGTGTGTCGAGCAGTACGTAGTCTCCTGACTGGTACGTGACTGGGCGGTGGTGGCGGTCAGTGTTGCGCTTAGCGATGACATTGGCTTTTTTAATTGCTTCTACGGCTCTGGTGTGAATTGCTGTGCACGTGGTGTTGGGTTGTCCGGACTCGGCGTCATGGGCACTGTAGGATTTTGCCCGTAGTTTAGAAAGGGGACTGCTGCATCGTCGCTAGCGTGGCGTTGTTGTACGCGAACCCGATCAGCGACAGCTGTTGCTCCCAAGTGGTCGGGTCGTCGCACGTGGCACGAATCAACTGCTCCATCGTCTGATTCTTCCGCCCAGTTTGACCGTCGGTCTCGGGGTGGTACGACGAGCTGAACTGTAGCCTTGTCCCGAACTGCTCCCAGAGGTTTTTCCAGAAGTTGCTGGTAAACTTCGTGTTGCGGTCGCTGATTATCGCAGCCGGTATCCCGTGCAGTCGAACAACGGGTGCGATGAACAGGCGAGCGATTTCTTTGGCTGAGATCGATTTCTTGCACGCAGCGAAGTGTGTCATCTTCGTCAACCTATCAACGACGACCATAACTTCGTCGTTACCCCCAGGGTTCGAAGGTAACCCTGTGACGAAATCCATGGTAACCCTTTCTTTTTTGCGAGCTCTTCATCACCTGACACGTAGGACACGAGCCCACGTGGTGCTATACATCGGTCAACAGCTCCGGCTAGTAGTAATACCGCTGTAGTTGCTGTCGCGTTTTTTCTACCTCGAAATGTCCCGAAGTAATCCCGTCGTGTGCTTCCTGTACGAACATTTCCCTCAGTAGTGAGTACGCGGGTACCCAGATGCGGTTGGTGCCTGTTTTTACGTAATAGACGCCTTTGGCCTCTGCTAGTTGTCAGAACATTATAGCTTACTTACTTGTGTAGGCTATAGTGGGGTATCCCATAGGGGGTACAACCCAATTAGGGTTTCCAATTTGTACTCACTTCGTTCATAGTTCATTAATTCTCGTTCTATTCTTCTCATGGTATCGAGCAGGTTCCCCTGTGGGAACTGTGCTTAGGGCCCACCACTACTTCGATTTTTTTTTTTTCTGCCATGAGCGCGCTCCGGGCTCTCTCTTACCTCTGTCGACCGGCCCTTAGCCGCCCGCGCGCCGCCCGTTCAGGCCTCACGCTGCCAGCGCGCCACCCTAGATGCTCGCGCGCCGCCCGTCCAGGCCCCGTGCAGCCCGCGCGCCGCCCTTAGCAGCCCGTGCGTCGCCCTTGGCAGCCCGCGCACTGCCCTTAGCAGCCAGCGCGCCGCCCTTAGCAGCCCGCGCGCCGCCCTAAGCAGCCCGCGTGCCGCCCACCAGGCCCCAGGCCGCCCGCGCGCCGCCCGCCAGGCCCCAGGCCACCCACGCGCCGTCCGTGCGCCGCCCTTAGCCACCCGCGCGCCGCCCGCCAGGCCCCAGGCCGCCCTCGCGCCGCCCATCAGGCACCACGCCGCCCGTGCGCCGCCCTTAGCCGCCCGTGAGCCGCCCGTGAGCCGCCCGTGAGCCGCCCGTGAGCCGCCCGTGAGCCGCCCGTGCGCCGCCCGTGAGCCGCGCGTGAGCACCCCGTCCCGGCCCCGAGCCACCCGTGAGCCGCCCGCCCCGGCCCCGCTCCCAGCCGCCCTCGCGCCACGCCGTCCCGGCCCTTCGACGCCCGAGCCGCCCGTGCCACCCGCGTCACCCGAGCCGCCCGAGCCGCCTACGCAGCTGAGGAGCCGGGCCGCCCGAGCCGCCTGTGCCGCCGAGCCGCCCGAGCCGCCTGTGCCGCTGAGCGCCCGAGCCGCCCGAGCCGTCCGAGCCGCCCGAGCCGCATGAGGAGCCGAGCTGCTGGTCCTGTGGGGCTGCTGTTACTACTCGGCCGGCGGAGCTGCTGTGTTGCCGTGTTGCTGTGCTGCTGAGCTGCCCGACCCGTCCTGTCTGGTGAGACTGTCGACTGCTGTCATGGCCACCCCTAGTGTCCTGGCTTTTGACGCTGAGGGTCGCGCCATTGACTTTGAGGTCTGGGTCGACGACCTGCAGCTGTACTTGCAGTGCGATTTGGTAGATGACATTTCTCTCTTTGACTTTGCCTCTGGCGCTGTCCTTGCCCCTGCTGCAGATGCTGACCCCACTGTTCGCTCCAAGTGGGCCACACGCGATGCTGCTGCACGTCTTGCTGTGCGTCGCCACCTCCCTACCTCTGAGCGTGCACACTTTAGTCAGTACAAGAGTGCTCAGACCTTGTACGACGCTGTAGTTGCGCGCTACTCCTCCCCTTCCTCTGCTGCACTAAGCCGCCTCATGCTACCGTACCTCTTCCCTGACCTTGCTGCCTTTCCCACAGTCGCTGACCTCTTTACCCACCTCCGCGCTAGTGACACTCGCTACCGAGCTGCGCTTCCTGCTGACTTCTGCGCCACAAACCCCCCTCCCATGTACATCACCCTCTACTTTCTAGTCACCCGTCTCCCTGAGTCCCTTCGTGTAGTTAGGGACCAGTTTCTCTCGGTCTGTCCCACCACCCTCACTGTCGACCTCCTCGAGAAGTCCCTGCTAGCGGCCGAGAAGAGCATAGTCGCTGTAGGGGCCTCTCGTGGTGACCCTCGCACCCCCATCTTTGAGGGGTGTTCTCCTTCCCTCCTGTTACCCTCTGTCGCCTCTGCTACTGCGGCCGACCTCGTTGGTCTAGAGTCGGTCGGTGCGGCGTCTGCCCCCAGCGGTAGGCGCCGCTCTGGCAAGGGCAAGGGGGGCAAGGGAGCGGGTGGAGCTAGCGGGGGCGGTGGCGGAGGAAGAGGGGGTGGCGGTGGAGGTGGTGGCGGGGGTGGAGGTACTAGTGGCGGCAGTGGAGGCGGAGGTGGCGGCGGAGGTGGCGGCGGAGGTGGCGGTGGGAGCGGCGGAGGCGGGGGTGGCGTTGGAGGCGGGGGCGGGGGTGGCGGTGGTGGAGGTGGTCGGAGTGGCTCGTCCCAGCGGAGCAGCACTGGGGGTGGTCAGCGCCAGCAGCAGCAGCAGCAGCAGCGCTCTCGCGACGTCCCCGCCCCTCTGCAGCTCTGTGAGTGGTACTCACAGCGTCAGCGTGGTGGGGCGTTTGGTCCCTGCACCTACGTCCTTCGCACCGGCGACCGCGCGGGTGAGCAGTGTGGGGGCACCCACACCGCCTAGCGCTGCTTTGGCTGCCTAACGGACGCTTGGCGCCAGCAGTTTCCGGAGGCCTCTGAGATCCCCCGCTGGGGAGAGCTGTCTAGGGCTGGTGTAGCTATCTTTGATCTTGACTTTGATGCTATCCTTGCTGCCATGTATGTTGTGACTGTTAATGATGAGGGTGACTGTTATCGGTGTTTCCCGCCCGACCCGGGCATTGGTACTACTGCTCTAGGTGCTAGTGAGGCTACTGCTCTAGGTGCTAGTGCGTCTGTGCTCTAAGGTACTGGTGGGTCTGCACTCTCAGGTACTAGTGAGTCTGCGCTCTCAGGTACTGCGTCAGCTTCGGCCTCCCACACCTTCAACCTTGACTCTGGGGCGTCTCGCTCCTTCTTTCGGGACCGCACCACACTCACGCCGCTTAGTCGGCCGGTTGCAGTGTCTTTGGCTGACCCCTCAGGGGGTCCTGTCCTGTCTCGCTTCTCCACAGTCCTCCCGTGTCCGGCGGCCCCCTCTGGCACCCTGTCTGGTCTCTACCTCCCCTCGTTCTCTACGAACTTGGTGAGTGGTGCTGACCTCCAGGATGCGGGTGTCCACCAGTTCACTCCTGCTCGTCAGCGGGTGACGCACTGCACAGAGGCTAGCACAGGTCGCCACCTAGCTACGTTTACACGTCAGCCAGGGTCGAGCCTGTACACACTGACCACTGCTTCTCCTCCAGGTGCTGCGTCTGGTAGGGTCCCTTCTTCTGGTCAGGTGTTTGCTGCAGCGTCCAGGTCTGGTCCTGAGTCTGCCCCCTGTTCCTGTCGCCGTCTGTCTCACGAGACCCTCCTCTAGCACCACCGCCTTGGCCACCCCTCTCTGCCTCGTCTCAGAGGCATGGCCTCCCGTCTTCTTGTGTCTGGTCTCCCCCGGTCCCTCCCTCCCCTTCCTCAAGGCCCTGGCCCTGCCTGTGTCCCCTGTGTCGAGGGGCGCCAGCGTGCTGCCCCTCACTCCTCCCAGTTTCCTCCGACAGAGGCCCCGTTGCAGACGCTTCACATGGACGTGTGGGGCCCTGCCCGCGTCCGTGGACAGGGTCAGGAGCGCTACTTCCTGCTCGTTGTTGACGACTACTCGCGTTACACCACAGTCTTCCCCTTGCGCAGCAAGGGTGATGTCACTGCGGTGCTGATCGACTGGATCCGCGCAGCTCGTCTCCAGCTCAGGCAGAGCTTTGGCTCGGACCTTCCTGTTTTGCGTCTGCACTCGGACAGAGGCGGAGAGTTCTCCTCTGGCCTTCTGCGTGCCTACTGTCGTGCGCGAGGCATCCGTCAGACCTTCACGCTTCCGCACTCACCGCAGCAAAATGGGATTGCAGAGCGCCGCATTGGCATGGTCATGGACGTCGCTCGTACGTCTATGATGCATGCGGCAGCCCCCCAAATTCTGTGGCCGTTTGCGGTCAGGTACGCGGCGCATCAGATCAACCTCCACCCCAGGGTCTCCACGCCGGAGACCTCCCCAGGCCTGCTGTGGACGGGGAAGGTTGGCGATGCGTCGGCGTTCCGGGTCTGGGGATCTTGGGCGTTTGTCCGCGACTTGTCTGCGGACAAGCTGTCCCCTCGCGGTGCTCCCTGCGTCTTCCTGGGGTTCCCCCCCGACGCCCCTGGGTGGCAATTCTACCACCCCACCTTTCGCCGTGTTCTGTCCTCCTAGGACGTCACGTTCGACGAGTCGGTACCCTACTACCGCCTCTTCCCCTACCGCACTCCGTCCCTCCCCCCGCCCCCACTCTTTCTTGTCCCAGGTCCCCCCCCGATAGACCCCCTCCCCCCTCAGGGTCCTCCCCCTTCAGGTGTGTCCCAGGTAGACGCAGTCGCGCGTGTCGAGGTCACTGGTGACTCTGGTGCTGCTGGTGGTGCTGAGCCTAGGGGTGCGGAGCCTGGGGGTGCTGAGCCTGGGGGTACTGAGCCTGGGGGTTCTACGTCTAGGGGTGCTGAGCCTGGGGGTGCTGAGCCTGGGGGTGCTGAGCCTGGGGGTGCTGAGCCTGGGGGTGCTACGCCTGGAGGTGCCTTGCTTGGGGGTGCTCGGTCAGGGGGTGCTGAGCCTAGAGGCTCTCTGGGTGCTTCGTCTCGCCGGGAGCCACTCTCTCCACAGGAGCTGCGCGAGTGGTTTGCCCGGCGCTGGAGCCGTACTGCTGGTGCTGGGGGTTCGTCGGCTACTGAGGGTGCTGCTGTCGCGGGTCCCCGAGGTGCTCGTCCTGGGAGTACTGGAGCTGCTAGGCCTGCGGTTTCGACCGGAGCTGGTGTTGCTGAGGGTGTTGGCGCTGAGACTACCACTGGCGGTCCGGCTGGCGGTGCTTCTGGTGCTGCTGGAGGTTCTAAGGCTGCTGGAGGTGCTGCTGGGCGTTTTGGAGCTGCTGGAGGTGCTGCTGGAGGTGCTATTGGCGCGGGTACTCCTGCTGGGGGTACTGGTACTGTCCCTGCTGTTTCTGCCGTCGCCACGCGGCCCCGACCGTACTTTGTTCCGCTCCTGCAGCAGGTTCTTGGTCTTACACCTTCTACTGGTCCTCCTCCTCCTCCCTTCAAGGGTCCACAGCCTGTCCTGTCACAGTCACAGCTGCAGACTGCCTCCCCTTTGCCTGCTCCTTCTCCCTTCACTGGTCATACTGGATGTCTTACTGAGCGTCGTGAGCCTGCGTCTCGTCCTGCGTCGCCTGTTCGTGCTGCGCGCGCTAGTGGTCGCGGTTCGTGTCACCGTCCTCCTCCTGTCCCTGGCACGCACCGGATGTCTCTGCGTCCGTCTACTGCTCCTCTGCGTGCCCCTTTGCCTTCTCCTCTTGCGTCATCTCTTCCTGCTCTTGCCGACCCGGAGTCGGACTCTCTTCGTGCTGCTAGTCCTACTGTCACGCGTCTCCTTGCTACTGCCGTCACTGACCCTTCCTTCGAGTCTACTACTGCGTCTGCCCTTGTTACTGAGCTCGTCGACTTTGCTGCTCGCTGTCGTCTAGACTACGCTGCTAGTCTTGTCGCTGAGTCTGAGTCTGCCTGTCCTCCGTCCGTCGGGGGTGAGTGTGCCCTTGGCACGGACGTCCTTGAGGACAGGCAGGAGGAGTTCCAGTGCCTGGCAGCCGCTTCACCTAATCTCGTGTCCGTACTGCTCACCCCTGAGGGAGACCCGGATGCACTTGACATCCCGACTCCGCGCTCTTACGCGGAGGCGATAGAGGGTCCCTACTCCTCTCAGTGGCAGGCAGCTATGGATGCTGAGATGGCTTCCTGGAAGTCCACAGGCACCTACGTTGACGCTGTCCCCCCTCCTGGGGCGAACATCGTCAGTGGCATGTGGATCTTCAGGGTGAAGCGGCCGCCAGGTTCTCCGCTTGTCTTCAAGGCGAGTTACGTGGCTCGTGGCTTCAGTCAGCGGCAGGGAGTTGACTACTTTCAGACCTTCTCCCCCACCCCGAAGATGACCACTCTTCGGGTACTGTTGCACGTTGCTGCCCACCGTGACTACGAGCTGCACTCTCTCGACTTCAGCACAGCTTTCTTGCAGGGCAGCCTGCACAAGGAGATCTGGCTGCGCTGCCCATCTGGCTTCACTGGGTCTTTCCCTCCTGGTACCCAGTGGAGTCCCCGGCGTCCAGTCTACGGTCTCCGCCAGGCGCCGCGTGAGTGGCACGACACACTGAGGACTACGCTGGCGGCACTTAGGTTTGCTCCTTCTACTGCCGACCCGTCGCTGTTTCTGCGCACCGACACTTCTCTGCCGCCGTTCTACATCCTCGTGTACGTCGACGACTTGGTCTTTGCCACTGCTGACACTGCTGGACTCGCCTACGTGAAGTCCGAGCTGCAGAAGAGACACACGTGCACTGACTTGGGTGAGTTGCGCAGCTACCTTGGCTTGCAGATCACCCGGGACAGAGCACGCCGCACCATCTCCCTGACTCAGTCACACATGGTGCAGCAGGTCCTTCAGCGCTTCGGCTTCACGTACTCCTCGCCTCAGGCCACTCCTCTGCCTACTCGCCACTCGCTCTCAGCTCTGCCTTCGGATGAGTCCGTAGAGTCGAGTGGCCCGTATCCAGAGCTTGTCGGCTGCCTCATGTACCTGATGCCCTGCACACGACCTGACCTTGCATACCCTCTTAGCATTCTTGCACGCTATGTTGCTTCTGGGAGACACCGACCAGAGCACATGGCTGCAGCAAAGAGGGTGTTGCGCTACTTGTGCAGTACGTCGGGCATGGGGCTAGTGCTTGGAGGGCGCAGTCCAGTGGTCCTTACTGGGCACGCGGACGCTTCTTGGGCTGACGACCAGGCTACGCAGCGGTCGTCACAGGGTTACACTTTCAGTCTTGGTTCCGGCTCTGTTTCGTGGCGGGCTACCCGCTCGTCTTATGTTCTTGGCTCCAGTTGTGAGGCTGAGATCTACGCCGGGGCTATGGCTGCACAGGAGCTTCGCTGGCTCACCTACCTGCTGACCGACCTTGGAGAGCCGCCTCGTTCTCCTCCAGTCTTGTACGTAGACAACAAGGCCACGCTGGCCTTGTGTCGAGAGCAGCGAATGGAGCACAGGACAAAGCACATTGCTCTCCGCTACTTTCTTGCGCGTGAGCTGCAGTAGCGTGGACAGTTGCGGCTTGCGTACGTGGCCTCTGAGGCCAACACTGCTGATGTCTTCACCAAGGCACTTGCGCCTTGTGATCATCAGCGCTTCTGCACTCAGTTGGGCCTTGTACCTATCTTGCCTCACTTGCTTACTTCTTGACCTTGCTTTTACTGTCACATATATATACTCTTGCTCTTGCTTGCTTAGCCTTTTGTATACCTATATATGTGATCTTGCATGTGAACTGGCCTTCTGGCCTTTGAACTTATGCTTGGAATGTGTGGTGACTTTGTGATCCACCCTGAGCTTTGCCTTGCTTTGCTTGACTGGTCTTGTGACCCCTTGTTCTCCCCCACTTTGCCTATGGGGGTGTGTCAGAACATTATAGCTTACTTACTTGTGTAGGCTATAGTGGGGTATCCCATAGGGGGTACAACCCAATTAGGGTTTCCTATTTGTACTCACTTCGTTCATAGTTCATTCATTCTCGTTCTATTCTTCTCACTAGTTGTTGTGAACTTCCGGTCGTGAAAAATGGTTCCGTACTGTATGCGTGGGTGAATAGGCTTGCTAACAGTAGATTGGTTTGGGCGAGTAGGATGGCATGGATTTGGGCGGTGGGGCGTGTGAGTGCGTCGGCGATGTTGGATGCGCCTTTTTTGTATGTGACCGTGTAGTGGAAGTTGGACTCCAGATAGTCCAACCAGCGGATCTGTCGTGGGTTGAACGCGTGCACGATCGCCAACATCTCGCGGTCGTGTATCGGGTAGTTGCATTCAAGCGGGTGAAATTTGCGCCTGGAGGCCGTTCCCGAAGTCCTGCAACAGTACTGCTCCCATAGCGATGTCGCTAGCGTCGGTGACGAGCTCGAACGGACGGTGCGGATTTGCGATGTGAAGTACGGGCGGCGAGCACAAAATATTTTTGAGGGCCGAGAAGGCAGCATGCTCTTTCTCCCCCCACGTGTACTCAACCCCCTTCCTCAGCAGGTCGGTCAACAGGGCAGTCAGCTTCGCCATGTCGGGGACGAACCGGCGCACATAGTTGACGAACCCCAGAAAACTCTGCAACTCGGTCAAGTTGGTCAGTGCGTTGTCAGAACATATAGCTTACTTGTTTCTGTAGGCTATACTGGGGTATCTCATAAGGGGTACAACACAATCAGGGTTTCCTATTTGTACTCACTTCGTTCATAGTCATTTCATTCTCGTTCAATTCTTCTCATGGAATCAGAGCAGGTCCCCTCCTAGGGACTGTTCCTAGGGCCCACCGAAGCGCGCCCCGAGGCGCGCGTTCTTTTTTTTTAGCGACCCTGCGTGTCGCCCCTACCGTCGAGCTTCCGCCGCTCCCTCCTCTGACGGCCGCCCGCCCTAGTGCCCTGACGGCCGCCCGCTCTAGCGCCCGAACGCCGCCCGCCCTAGCGCCCTGACGGCCGCCCGCCCTAGCGCCCTGACGGCCGCCCGCCCTAGCGCCCGAGCGCCGCCCGCCCTAGCGCCCGAGCGCCGCCTGCCCTAGCGCCCGAGCGCCGCCCACCCTAGCGCCCGAGCGCCGCCCGCCCTAGAGCCCTGACGGCCGCCCGCCCTAGCGCTCGAGCGCCGCTTGCCCTAGCGCCCTGACGGCCGCCCGCCCTAGCGCCCGTGCGCCACTCGCCCTAGCGCCCAGACGGCCGCCCGCCCTAGCGCCCGAACGCAGCCCGCCCTAGCGCCCTGACGGCCGCCCGCCCTAGCGCCCTGACGGCCGGCCGCCCGCCCCAGCGCCCGAGCGCCGACCGCCCTTTCGCCCTTACGGCCGCCCGCCCGAACGCCTGAGCGCCGCCCGTCGTCGCCCCAACGCCCTAGCGCCCGACGCCCGCGAGCCGCCCGTCGCAGCCGCCCGTGAGCTCCCTGAGCCGCCCGCGCCGCCGTCCCTGAGCCGCCTGTGCAGCAGCCCGCGTGCCGCCAGCGAGCCGCCCGTCGCGACACCAGCACCGCACGAGCCGCCCGTACAGCCGAGCAGCCCGAGCCGCCCGAGCCGCCCGCGCCGCCCCAGCAACCCGAGCCGCCCGAGCCGCCCGAGCCGCCCGAGCCGCCCGAGCCGCCCGAGCCGCCCGAGCCGCCCCAGCCGCCCGAGCCGCCCGAGCCGCCCGCGCCGCCCCAGCAACCCGAGCCGCCCGAGCCGCCCGGGCAACCTGAGGAGCCGAGCTCCTGCTCCTGCGTGGCTGCTGCTGCTCCGAGGCGTGCGTAGCTGCTGTTCTGCCGAGTTGCTGAGTCACTGTGCTACCCGACTCTTCGTGCCCGGTGAGACAATCAGCTGCTGCAATGGCCACCCCCAGTGTCCTGTCTTTTGACGCTGAGGGTCGCGCCATTGACTTTCCAGTCTGGATTGAGGACCTGCAGCTGTACTTACTGTGCGATGCGATCGATGAGGTTTTTCTCTTTGACTTTGTCTCTGGAGCTGTCCCTGCCCCTCCTGCTGATGCTGACCCTACTGTTCGCTCCAAGTGGGCCACACGCGATGCTGGTGCACGTCTTGCTGTGCGTCGCCACCTCCCTTCCTCCGAGCGTGCCCACTTTAGTCAGTGCAAGACCGCTCAGGCCTTGTACGACGCTGTAGTTACACGCTACTCCTCCCCTTCCTCCGCTACGCTGAGCCGCCTCATGCTACCGTTTCTCTTCCTTGACCTCGCTGCCTTTCCCACTGTCGCTGACCTCGTTACCCACCTCCGCGCTAGTGACGCTCGCTACCGCGCTGCCCTTCCTGCTGAGTTCTGCGCCGCAAACCCTCCTCCCATGTACATCACTCTTTACTTTCTCGTCACCCGTCTCCCTGAGTCCCTTCGTGTCGTTAGGGACCAGTTTCTCTCTGTCTGTCCCACCACCCTCACTGTCGACCTCCTTGAGGAGTCCCTGCTAGCGGCTGAGAAGAGCATCGTCGCTGTAGGGGCCTCTCGGGGTGACCCTTGCACCCCCATCTTTGAGGGGTGTTCTCCTTCCCCCCTGCTGCCCTCTGTCGCCTCTGCCGCTGCGGCCGACCTCGCTGGTTTTGAGTCGGTCGGTGCGGCGTCTGCCCCCAGCGGTAGACGCCGCTCTGGCAAGGGCAAAGGGGGCAAGGGAGCGGGTGGAGCTAGAGGGGGCAGTGGCGGAGGAGGTGGGGGTGGCGGAGGGAGTGGGGGTGGCGGTGGAGGTGGTGGCGGGAGTGGAGGTACTGGTGGAGGCGGTGGAGGCGGAGGTGGCGGCGGAGGCGGTGGCGGAGGAGGCGGGGGCGAGGGCACCGGTGGGGGCGGTGGCGGTGGAGACGGGGGTGGCGTTGGAGGCGGGAGTGGCGGTGGCGGCGGAGGTCGGAGTGGCTCGTCCCAGCGGAGCAGCTCTGGGGGTGGCCAGCGCCAGCAGCAGCAGCAGCAGCAGCAGCAGCGCTCTCGCACCGTCCCCGCCCCTTAGCAGCTCCGTGAGTGGTACTTGCAGCGTCAGCGTGGTGGTGCGTTTGGTCCCTGCCCCTACGTTCTTCGCACCGGTGACCGTGCGGGGGAGAGGTGTGGAGGCACCCACGCAGCCCGCCGCTGCTTTGGCCGCCTGACCGACGCTTGGCGTCAGCAGTTTCCGGAGGCCGCTGAGATCCCCCGCTGGGGGGAGCTGTCTAGGGCTGGTGTAGCCATTTATGATCTTGACTTTGATGCTATTCTTTCTGCTATGTATGCTGTGACTGGTAGTGATGAGGATGACTGTTACCGGTGTTTCCCGCCCGACCCGGGCATTGGTACTGCTGCGTCAGGTGCTAGTGAGGCTGCTGCTCTAGGTGCCAGTGCGTCTGTGCTCTCAGGTACTGGTGAGTTTGCCCTCTCAGGTACTGTGTCGGCTTCGGCCTCTCACACCTTCACCCTTGACTCTGGAGCGTCTCGCTCCTTCTTTCGGGACCGCACCACTCTCACGCCGCTGAGTCGGCCGGTTGCGGTGTCCCTGGCTGACCCCTCTGGGGGGCCTGTCCTGTCTCGCTTCTCCACGGTCCTTCCGTGTCCGGCGGCCCCCTCTGGCACCCTGTCTGGTCTCTACCTCCCCTCGTTCTCGACGAACCTGGTGAGTGGTGCTGACCTACAGGATGCGGGTGTCCACCAGTTCACTCCTGCTCGTCAGCGAGTGACCCACTGCACGGAGGCTAGCACGGGACGCCACCTGGCTACGTTTACACGTCGGCCAGGGTCGAGCCTGTACACACTGACCACTGCTTCTCCTCCAGGTGCTGAGTTTGGTAGGGTCCCTTCGTCTGGTCAGGTGTTTGCCGCAGCGTCCAGGTCTGGTCCTGAGTCTGCCCCCTGTTCGTGTCGTCGTCTGTCTCACGAGACCCTCCTCAGGCACCACCGCCTTGGCCACCCCTCTCTGCTTCGCCTCAGAGGCATGGCCTCCCGTCTTCTTGTGTCTGGTCTCCCCCGGTCTCTACCTCCCCTTCCTCAGGGCCCTGGCCCTGCCTGTGTCCCCTGTGTCGAGGGGCGCCAGCGTGCTGCCCCTCACTCCTCCCAGTTTCCTCCGACAGAGGCCCCGTTGCAGACGCTTCACATGGACGTGTGGGGCCCAGCCCGCGTCCGTGGACAGGGTCAGGAGCGCTACTTCCTGCTCGTTGTTGACGACTACTCGCGTTACGCCACGGTCTTCCCCTTGCGCAGCAAGGGTGAGGTCACTGAGGTGCTGATCGACTGGATCCGCGCAGCTCGTCTTCAGCTCAGGCGGAGCTTTGGCTCCGACTTTCCTGTGTTGCGTCTGCACTCGGACAGAGGCGGAGAGTTCTCCTCTGGCCTTCTGCGTGCCTACTGTCGTGCGCGAGGCATCCGCCAGTCTTTCACGCTTCCGGACTCCCCGCAGCAAAATGGGATTGCTGAGCGCCGCATTGGCATGGTCATGGACGTCGCCCGTACGTCCATGATGCATGCGGCTGCCCCCCATTTTCTGTGGCCGTTTGCGGTCAGGTACGCCGCGCATCAGATCAACCTCCACCCCAGGGTCTCCAGGCCGGAGACCTCCCCAGCCCTGCTGTGGACGGGGAAGGTTGGCGATGCGTCGGCGTTCCGGGTCTGGGGATCTCGGGCGTTTGTCTGCGACTTGTCTGCGGACAAGCTGTCCCCTCGCGCTGCTCCCTGCGTCTTCCTGGGGCCCCCGACGCCCCTGGGTGGCAGTTCTACCACCCCACCTCTCGACGTGTTCTGTCCTCCCAGGACGTCACGTTCGACGAGTCGGTACCCTACTACCGCCTCTTCCCCTACCGCACTCCGTCCCTCCCCCCACCCCCGCTCTTCTTGGTACCAGGTCCCCCCCCGGTAGACCCCCTCCCCCCTCAGGGTCCTGCCCCTTCAGGTGTGTCCCAGGTAGACGCGGTCGAGCCTGTCGAGGTCACTGGTGACTCTGGTGCTGCTGCGGGAGCTGAGCCTGGGGGTGCGGAGCCTGGGGGTGCTGAGTCTGGGGGTGCTGAGCCTGGGGGTGCTGTGCCTGGGGGTGCTGTGCCGGGGGGTGCGGAGCCTGGGGGTGCGGAGCCTGGGGGTGCTGAGCCTGGAGGTGCCGAGCCTGGGGGTGCTGAGCCTGGGGGTGCTGCGCCTGGGGGTGCTGAGCCAGGGGGTGCTGAGCCTGGGGGTGCTGAGCCTGGGGGTGCTGTGCCTGGGGGTGCTTCGTCTCGCCGGGAGCCACTCTCCCCACAGGAGCTGCGTGAGTGGTTTGCCAGGCGCTGGAGGCGTGCTGCTGGTGCTGGTGGTTCTTCGGCTGCAGAGGGTACTGCTGCCGCGCGTCCCGGAGGTGCTCGTACTGTGGGTGCTGGAGCTGCTGGGTCTGAGGGTTCTCCTGGAGCTGGTGCTGCTGAGGGTGTTGGCGCTGTGCCTGCCGCTGGCGGTCCGACTGACAGTGCTCCTGGTGCTGCTGCTGGAGGTTCTGGTGGTGCTGGAGGTGCTACTGTAGTGGGTGCTCCTGCTGGCGGTACTGGTGCTGTTCCTGCTGTTTCAAGCGTCGCCGCGCGGCCCCGACCGTACTTCGTTCCGCTCCTGCAGCAGGTTCTTGGTCTTACACCTCCTCCTCCCTTAGAGGGTCCGCAGCCTTTCCGGTCACAGCCACAGCTACAGCCTGCCTCCCCTTTGCCTGCTCCTTCTCCCTACGCTGGTCCGACTGGAGGTCTTACTGAGCGTCGTGAGCCTGCGCCTCGTCCTGCGTCGCGTCCTGCGTCGCCTGTTCGTACTGAGCGCGCTAGTGGTCGCGGGTCGCGTCAGCGTCCTCCTCCTGTCCCTGGCACGCACCGGATGTCACTGCGTCCGTCCACTGCTCCTCTACGTGCCCCTTTGCCTTCTCCTCCTGCTTCCTCTCTTCCTATTCTTGCCGACCCGGAGTCGGACTCTCTTCGTGCTGCCAGTCCTACTGTCACGCGTCTTCTTGCTACTGCTGTCACTGACCCTTCCTTCGAGTCGTCTGCTGCTTCTGCCCTTGTCACTGAGCTTGTCGACTTTGCTGCACGCTGTCGTCTAGACTACGCTGCCAGTCTTGTCGCTGAGTCTGAGTCTGCCTGTCCTCCGTCCGTCGGGGGTGAGTGTGCCCTCGGCACGGACGTCCTTGAGGACAGGCAGGAGGAGTTCCAGTGTCTGGCAGCCGCTTCACCTCATCTCGCGTCTGTACTGCTAGCCCCTGAGGGAGACCCGGATGCACCAGACATCCCGACTCCGCGCTCTTACGCGGAGGCGATAGAGGGTCCCTACTCCTCTCAGTGGCAGGCAGCTATGGATGCAGAGATGGCTTCCTGGAAGTCCACAGGCACCTACGTCGACGCTGTTCCCCCTCCTGGGGCGAACATCGTCAGTGGCATGTGGATTTTCAGGGTGAAGCGGCCGCCGGGTTCACCGCCTGTCTTCAAGGCGCGTTACGTGGCTCGTGGCTTCAGTCAGCGGCAGGGGGTTGACTACTTTCAGACCTTCTCCCCCACCCCGAAGATGACCACTCTTCGGGTTCTGCTGCACGTTGCTGCTCACCGTGACTACGAGCTGCACTCTCTCGACTTCAGCACAGCTTTGTTGCAGGGCAGTCTGCACGAGGAGATCTGGCTACGTCGCCCACCTGGCTTCACTGGGTCTTTCCCTCCTGGTACCCAGTGGAGTCTCCGGCGTCCAGTCTACGGTCTCCGCCAGGCGCCTCGTGAGTGGCACGACACACTGAGGACTACGCTCGCGGCACTTGGGTTTGCTCCGTCTACTGCCGACCCGTCGCTGTTTCTGCGCACCGACACCTCTTTGCCGCCGTTCTACATCCTCGTGTACGTCGACGACTTGGTCTTTGCCACAGCTGACACTGCTGGACTCGCCTACGTGAAGTCTGAGCTGCAGAAGAGACACACGTGCACTGACCTGGGTGAACTGCGTAGCTACCTTGGCTTGCAGATCACCCGGGACAGAGCGCGCCGCACCATTACCCTGACTCAGTCACACATGGTGCAGCAGGTCCTTCAGCGCTTCGGCTTCACGTACTCCTCGCCTCAGGCCACTCCTCTGCCTACTCGCCACTCACTCTTAGCTCTGCCTTCGGATGAGTCCGTAGAGTCGAGTGGCCCGTTTGCAGAGCTTGTTGGCTGCCTCATGTACCTGATGACCTGCACACGTCCTGACCTTGCATACCCTCTTAGCATTCTCGCACGCTATGTTGCTCCTGGGAGACACCGACCAGAGCACATGGCTGCAGCGAAGAGGGTGTTGCGCTACTTGTGCAGCACGTCGGGCATGGGGCTAGTGCTTGGAGGGCGCAGTCCAGTGGTCCTCACTGGGCACGCAGACGCTTCTTGGGCTGACGACCAGGCTACGCAGCGGTCGTCACAGGGTTACACCTTCAGCCTTGGTTCCGGCTCTGTTTCGTGGCGGGCTACCCGCTCGTCTTCTGTTCTCGGCTCCAGTTGTGAGGCTGAGATCTACGCTGGGGCTATGGCTGCGCAGGAGTTACGTTGGCTCACCTACCTGCTGACCGACCTTGGAGAGCAGCCTCGTTCTCCTCCAGTCCTGTACGTAGACAACAAGGCCATGCTGGCCTTGTGTCGAGAGCAGCGACTGGAGCACAGAACGAAGCACATTGCTCTCCGCTACTTTCTTGCTCGTGAGCTACAGCAGCGTGGACAGTTGCGACTTGCGTACGTGGCCTCTGAGGCCAACACTGCTGATGTCTTCACCAAGGCACTTGCGCCTTGTGATCATCAGCGTTGTTGCACGCAGTTGGGTCTTGTGCCTGTCTTGCCTCACTTGCTCTCCTCTTGATCTTGCTTGTACCTTCGCCTATATATACTCTTGTTCTTGCTTGTTTGCCTCTTGTATATCTCTATATATGATCTTGCATGTGAACTGGCCTTCTGGCCTTTGAACTTGTGCTCGGAATGCGTGGTGACTTTGTGATCCACCCTGAGCTTTGCTTTGCTTTGCTTGACTGGTCTTGTGACCCCTTGTTCTCCCCCACTTTGCCTATGGGGGTGTGTCAGAACATATAGCTTACTTGTTTCTGTAGGCTATACTGGGGTATCTCATAAGGGGTACAACACAATCAGGGTTTCCTATTTGTACTCACTTCGTTCATAGTCATTTCATTCTCGTTCAATTCTTCTCATGCGTGCCATGCTTGAATCGTCGCGATTTTTTTCGGGTCTATTTCCACTCCTGCAGCTGAAATAATGTGTCCCAAAAACTCCAGTCGGTCCTGTAGAACCTCACACTTTGACGCTTTTGTCAGTAGGTGGTTCTCACTCAGAATCTTAAAAACTGCTTCGATGTCCTGTTTGTGTTGTGATCTCTCGGGGCTGTAAATCAGTATGTCTTCCAGATACACGATGCCGCACTTATCTAAAAGCAGGCAAAAGGCTTCGTTCATGGTCATTTGAAAGGTGGCGGGGGCGTTGGTCAGTCCCAAGGGCATGACGGTGTATTCGAAGGATCCGTAGCGTATTCGGAAGGCTGTCTTAGGGCAGTCGGGTGGGTCGACGCGAATCTGGTGGTAACCTCCTCGAAGGTTGATTTTCGAGGAAAACCGGGTTGTGCGCAGTTGGTCGATCAATTCGTCAGCTCGCGGGATGGGGTAACGGGATTTTATGGTAACCCTGTTCAGTGCTTGCACATGCGAACCCCCACGTCCTTTTTCGGCGTGAACAATATCGGTGCTGCGAAGGGCGACGAACTACGGCGAATGAACCCCTTCTCGAGCAGGTAATCCAGCTGCTTCCTCAGTTCATCCAGTTTGGGTTGGGTTAGTCGGAACTGTCACTGTACTGTTGGCTGTGCCCCCGGTTCTAAATTCTATCCTGTGGTCGTGCAATCGCTGAGGTGGCAGTCCTGTCGTTAGGTCGTCCGGGAAAATGTCACTGTACTGCTTCAACAATGCTGCCAGATCACCCGGTACGTTGGATAGTAGTTTCTGTAAATCCCCTCCTTTGTCTGCTGCCTCGGCTTCCTGAATGTCAACTGCATACACGTCAGCTCCTGCCGCTACAGCGCGTTTCATTGTGATCGCGTTGACACGCACTGACAAAGACTCAGGCGAGCCCCAGCGAGGTAAGGCGATGTTGTTACCGTTCACTCGCACAGTACAGTCACCCGTCGTCCAGTCGATTCGCGGATTGTGTCGTCGCATCCAATCATGCCCGAGTAAAATGTCGGTTCCGTCGAAGGTCGTTGCGAGCATTTCCTGGCTAAACGTGAAGTTACCCCCGCATCGAATCCGAACTCGGCCCACACGTTCCCGTATCACCACTTGGTAGAGCGCAAGGCTCTTAACCTTGTGGTCGTGGGTTCGAGCCCCACGGGCGGCGTTTTGAAAGTATCACATGTGCACCGGGTAGAGAACTTGCCTTTTTCGCTTGGTTCATCTTTTGCATGCTCGATTATTTCAGTCCCCACTCTTCCAACAACTCACTGACAGCCTTCCAATCTAGCCTTGTAGATCATGCTTGGGTTGTTCTTTTAGCCAGCCCCCAGGGTAACTAATTAGGCTTGGCTACCTGATCTCCAGGAGTGACCTGACCTCGTCCACTTTTGGGCCTAGTTGGTGATCAAATATCTAACATAATGAACAGGACAGTTGTCTGGATCGAATGCTAGTGGATTGAGCGCTGAGAGGGAGAAAGTAAATACTTGTCAGGAAACGTGAACTGGAAAGAGGGGGAGAACGTCAATCCAGGGAAAGCCATGTTCATGAAATAACAGAAACAATCAAAAGGTAAAAAAAAAACTAACAACAAGCTTCAAATCAGTACGCTTTCATTGACGAGAGCGCGAAGAGGCCTTAAAGGCCGTAACGCTCCCACGTCGACGCGATCCGCGTATCGAACGGGGTAGGTTGGAGCCTTCCGCCTTACCCCAGATTTGCATGGCCTCCCTGACTCGCTCCTATTATCAGCACCCACGTTGTCATTATGAACGACGCGCCCCTGCTGATAGTAGCAGCCGCGAATTGCTTTACTAGTAATGGGTGGCAGAGGATGTGATACTAATAAGCGATTCGGTGGGAGTAGCGAGGTGAACGGTGGGTGAATACGATAGTGAGCGGCGGACTCGAAGAAAATATCCGCTCAAATATAATTTTTACGTCGTAAAAAATTAGGCGCTGAGTTTATGGCGCATAAAACGGAGAAAGAAACTATCCAGGCAGCAAGGTTGCCACCAAACTCAAGAATGAGCTTCAATACGAAGACAGAGCCGGGAAACGCACCTCGTATTATGTTGCATTTCTCTGCTGAGTGTGGGGACTGCGAAATGCTAGAACAGAAAGGAGCACAAACCATTTGTGTTACCAGATGCGAAACACTTTGTTTGGGTTCGTCAAATGAGCTGAGTTACCAGCCTTGCACCCAACGACGAACTAGAAATTTTGGCGTTGCGTAGCTACAATAATCGTGAAGCCTCTCGCCCTGCTTGGAGAATTATTCCCAGCGGGAAATGTACCCGAATCTGACTCCCCGGGAAGACAGAACAAAATGACGCCACTCCAAAACAATTATCATTGAGCCAATCGCCTTCCGAACCTTAGACTCACGCCGTTTTCGTAGCCATCGCCAACCAGTCAGTTCGCGAAGAGAACAGAATTATTGGTGGTTCTGAGGGCAAATTTCCAGTGCGCTTTCGATGAGAGGGAATTCACGAGGGCGACTCGAGCCGAGCAGCTCCATGCCTAGAACTTCTCAAAGTCCCGATACTTCCCGACTGACGCAACTATATCAATCTCCTGCTTCACGATCATCATCTAAATCGATCATTGTCCTCCAAGCCTACAGTGTCTCTGATATTCAAGCCCCGTATTCGCATCAGCAAGCTCCGATTCTTTCCCTCTTCTCCCTTTCTCCATGGCTCCCGTTTTCAACGTCCGCAGCTTACTCTGCGTGGGATTCGTTCTGCTGGCTCTCGTCCTCACTCCCGCCGATGCCATGTACGCCACGTCCGTTGATCTGAACCGCGAGGGAACGTGCTACCGCGGCCAATTCGACTACGGCGAGAGTTCGGATTTCGACTACGGCATGGTAGCGCAGGTGCCTTCGGGCGATTTCAACAGCGGAAAGGGCTGCGGAAGGTGCTACGAAGTCTCCTGCATGAACCACCCGAGCTGCTTGGAGGGCAGCGTGCTGGTGCGCGCGGTCGGCCAAAATGGCGACTTCAACCTCAACTTCGCCGCGTGGGACAGAATCGTCGCCGACCGGGCCGCGGGGCGCGTGGAGATCGACTACCGCAGCGTGGACTGCCCTAGCAACGGCGGCCTGAAGGTCAGATTGGTCGACGATAGCAACTCGTACAACTTCGCGCTTCAGATTATCGGCGCGGCGGGGAGCGGAGGCGTGGAGAACGTGGAGCTGTCGAACGACGGGTCGCAGTGGACGAGCATGACGACGTACGGATGGGGCGCCACGTGGGTGCTGAATCCCGCCAAGGACGTTGTCGATGCGGGGCTCCCGGTGAGCGTGCGCGTGACGGGCGGCGGGCAGCAGGTGGTGCTGCAAGACGTGATTCCGAGCGGATGGAGCGCCGGGACGACCTACGAGAGTGACACCAACTTCTAGAGGAGAGTCGTCGCGAGATGGGCGTATAGGTGCAACACTTGCTACTAGAAACGGGACGTCCTGTAACGAGGTGGTGCGGCGCAGGAGGGTGCTTGCAAATAATGCTGCCACCGTGGCATGGTGGTGTGCACAGCAGTGAATAAATGCCCAGCCCTCTATGGAGGTGGATGAGCTGAGGCTAAGTGTGATCCGATCAGATGCTAGGAGTAATTAGCCATTCCGCTAGGTAATTGCTAGGTTGCCGCTGCGAGCTCTCCCATTCCTTACACTGTCATCCATTGTTATTCCAATCAAATGGGAGCGGTACACTCCAAGCAGAAAAACGTTTCATAGAAAAGTGAGTGCATCTTCAGAGAAACGTTCCATAATAAGCGATTTCATTTCTGATAAGTACAGAAGAGAAAACATTCCACTGTGCAAAATGTTGTGACGTTTATTGACACTGCGTTCTAAAAAATGCTATAAATGCCAAGACCTGGCTGGGGCCACCTATTGAGGGGCTTTGGTTGGTGGAAAATAACATCAGGCCGTTCCACTCGACTCTCTGCAGACCTCTCACTCCTCCCTTATTCCATAAACAACTTTCTGCTTTCCCCTTGCGTCACTAACTACCATGCTGAACCCCCTGAAGACGAGCCAGCTCCAAGCTGAAGTCGACCTGCTCGGAGCTCTCGATCTCGTGGTCAATCCTAACAGCCATGCGGTCCTCGTCCTCCCCGAAGAACTCCTCCTTGAGCAGCAGCAGCTCTGCCAGCACACGGCTCATGCCCGGGCGAGACGCCGTGGGCATGGCGGTGCAGGTGAGCGCCAGGCGTGCCATGCGCAGCACCAGGTCGTCCGGTGCTTGCAGGTGCGGGTCCTTTAGTGCCGCCACGTCCCCTGCTGCCACCAGCGATGCTGCCTGTTAGTGCATCAATCGGGGGAAGCAAGGGAGCAGGGGAGGGATGAGGGGAAGAAACGGAATGGAGAGTTAAGACTATTTGCAATGAAGAACGAATGTGCAAGGATACCATGATATGGACAGAAGGATGAACATTGAAAGAATTGGGCAAGGTGTCGGAGCAATACCCACCCATTGCTTGAGGTTGACTTGGTTTGACTCGATGTTGTAGATGGCCTTGCGAGCCGTGATCACCGCCAGCATCACCACTCCAAAGCTGCAGGCAGATGGGAAGTAATGCAGTGAGGCAGCAGAGAAGATAAACAGCAGTCAGCAGGGTAAGGGATCAAGGCAGTCAGCAGAGTAAGGGATCAAGGCAGTCAGCAGGGAAGGGTAGCAAGGCAGTCAGCAGGGTCAGGGAATGAGGCAGTCAGCAGGGTAAGGGAAAAAGGCAGTCAGCCTTGGGAGTAACCATGTGCGAGTGGTAATAAGCAGGATCCACGCGGCCTGGTGTGCCCGTGTCGGAGTGTTTCCTAGAATTCTAAAGAACACGTGAACACCATATAATCCCGCACCATGAGGGAGTATTTTTTGGAATTCTAAAACACTCGCAAGTAATATATCACCCGCACCTGTGCACGTCGGCCTTGGGAGTGGCCTTGTGGGAGCGGTAGTAAGCGGGGTCCACATAGCCCGGCGTGCCCATGACGCGCGTGGCGGCCACAGATGTACCTTCCCCAAGTCGCACCAGCCCAAAGTCAGCGAGCTTGGCGTGCATGCGCGCGTCCAGCAGCACGTTGGCGGGCTTGATGTCGCGATGCACGATGCTGAAGCCGTGCAGATACTCCAGCCCCCGCGCCATGCCCGTCAGGATGCCCAGTCGTTGTTGCATTGTGAGCGGGTGGGGTGCATCTGGGAGGAGGAGGCATGGCAGTTGGGAGTTGGGCAGCTGGGTGTGCTTATGAATGGAACAAGAGTCTCCAGGTTGATAGAATAGATGGCATAGACGCAATGCATTGCAGGTGCGTAAACAGCTCGAACAGGACGGTTGTAAAGCTGTAGCAACGTGTTAGGTTGTGCAAATGTAATGGATAGAACGATGGCTACAGAATTCACCAGTCTGTTGACAAGAACAATGCATACATGACGGGATGCTAAAGATTCTCTTTCATTTTTTTTCTGTGCGTGTGTTTTTTTTTTTTTTTTATACGATACAAATCGTAAAATACTCTTGATATCCTGTACAGCCTTACATGGTTCTATCCACACACCTTGTGCAAGCAACACAAAAAACCGCCTTGGCTTACCAGGTCCGATCCAGCGGTCGAGGTCGCCGTTGGCCATGAACTCATAGACCACGATCTGCTCCATGCGCTCCGCCTCGTAGCTCATGTCAAAGCAGTACCCCAGCAGCCTCACCAGGTTCGGATGGCTCTTGGTCGCCATCTCGTTGATCTGCAGGGGGGTGGGGGGGGAAGGAAGCAGAGCCGAGGGAAGCGGGGTGGGTGGAAGCAGGGCGGTTTCTGAAAAGCAGCCGCACCAGCTTCGGATAGCTTTTCGTCGCCATCTCGTTGATCTGCATGGCCGTGGGTTGGGAGGGGGCAAAGGGGATGGGGGGAGAGGGGGGGAGGGAAGCAGGTTGGGAGATATAAGGTTGAGAGGAAGCAGGTTTGGGGTAATCAGGTTGGGGAAAAGAAGGGTGAGAGGAAGCAGGTTCGGTGTAATCAGGTTGGGGGAAAGAAGGTTGAGAGGAAGCAGGTTCGGTGTAATCAGGTTGGGGGAAAGAAGGTTGAGAGGAAGCGTGATGGGAGGAAACAGTTTGGAAAGCAGGATGGGAGAAGTAGGTTGGGAGGAAGCAGGTTGGGAGAAAGGGGGTTGGGAGGAAGCAGGTTTGAAGGAAGCATCTTTAGAGAAAGCAGGTTGGGGGGAAGCAGGTTGGGAGGAATTTGGTTGGGGGGAAACTGGTTGGGGCGAAGAAAAACACCCTACAGACAAGGTTGGCAGCGACACCTCCCTCGTACCCCGCTACCGAAACCAATGCCAAGTATGATATGCGTGGTTATCTCAGAGCTTGATATTGCTGAGATTACCAAGCCAATGCAACACATGGCAGGGAGTCTCACCTTTCGCCGGAATTCGTTAGTTGCACGCGGCCTCGCTTTTGAGATTTCATAAAGCCGATGCGACACATGGCAGGGCGTCTCACCTCGCGTCGGAAGTCGTTGGTGAGCACGCGGGCTCGCTTCACAGCCCACACCTCCTTGGGGTTCCGCGGATTCACCCCCCTGTACACATCGCCAAAGCTGCCGCTGCCTATGCGGTTGCTCTCTGCCCACTCCCCTGTCGCTCGAGCCATCTCTTGCAGAGTGAATCGCTGGCACACGTCTAGCCCAGCACCCCCTGCAGCACAAAGCAGTGGCTGCACTGCTGGCGCTGGTGGAGCTGCTGGAAATGCCACTGCAGTAGCTGCGGCAGCTGCAGCGGCTGCTGCTTCTTCTGCTGCCCCCACTGCTGCTGGTGTTGCTGAGCGCCCTGCTTGGCACAATGATTCGCTTGATCGTCCCTTTATCCCTGCTTGACCCACCTCTAATGCCGCCGCCGCCGCTGCTGCTGCTGCGGGTGCTTCTTTTGCTGCCATTGCTGACGCAGAAGGTATGTCAACAACCACTTGCCCTAGGACCACTCCAGCTCCTGCTGCTGCCACAGCTGGCGGTGCTGCTGCCACTGCTGGTCGTGGTGGTCGTGGTGCTGGTGCTGCTGCTACTGCTGGTCGTGGCGGTCGTGGTGCTGGTGCTGCTGCCACTGCTGGTCGTGCTCGTGGTGCTGGTGCAGCTGCTACGACTGCTACTACCGCTGGTGCTGCCGTTCCATTAAATGCCCCGGTCAACCTTTTAGGTACCTGTGCCGCAGTGGGTGATGTGATTATTTTTGGAGGCTGCTTGACCGGTGGCGGTGCGACACGTGGCAAACGATAATTGTTGGATGGTGGTGTGAACTTGGAGGGTTTGCCTGCAGAAGCTGGAGGCATCGGTCCTGGGACCACGTGACCACCCTTGCTTGAAAGGTCAAAGAAACCCACCAAGCCAGCCCATATTTTTTTTAGAGTGTCGGAAAAAACGGCCAGCAAAAACAACAGGAGGGTGGCACCAGCTACAGACCCTGACACAATGGCTATGACTTTGTCCATGTACATTTTGAGATACACTGCTTCTAGCGGGGTTTTTGTTGCCTCTGGGCAGATGGAACCACTAGTAATGGTATTCTGTGCCGAGGAAGTTCCTGTCACCAGGCGGATGAAACGCTTGGGGTATCTGACGATGCGTCAAGGTGTTGTGTGAACAACACGTACTGTATTGATAAATTGGTGGGGGAATAGGGCATCGCTGCTGCTATAACAAACAAAGGAGAAACCAACAAGAAGATAATGACAAGTGGAGGCGTCTGGTAAGCAAATAATACAGTGGAATCTGCGAGCATAGATCAGAGGGTCTCGAAGAGGCGCGTTTACTGTATGAATCTATCATCCAGGTTTTGCGTTGAACTACCTTCGAAGTTACTTTCTGCGCTCTCCTTTCAGTTCGAAAGGCTCTTAGAATCGTTGAAAGAGGCATGTCCGAAACGAAAAATCGAAGCACAGAAGGCTCCAGAATAACTTCGCGGCTAAATAAGCGAGCAATAGATGAATAGTAACTACGGTGTAGAGCGCTTGTCAGCTACGATTACCAGTAAGGAGAGAAGATCAAGAATTTGAGTTACATTCAAGCATCAAGTATGGATGCACAAACCCCCATCAGTAGGTGGAGCAATGTGAGGGAGTGAGCGAAATGGCGACACTGGGAGAACCGTTTCGCTAACGTAAGACCTCATGTTAACGAATTAATAAGCAACAAGTTACCAGGCTAGTCGGCTCGCTCGCTACTCATTGTGCTTCGGTGCTGAGTTGGTTTGGACGGTCGGGCAGTTTTGCGAAGCCAGCTGCTGGCAAGAACTGCAGGATACTCGATGTGGATGAGGTGGCATGATGACGACGACGTTGGAATGCAGGGGACGAGTTTGACGGTGAGCGTACAGTTGTCGCGACCTAGATTGACTACTAAAGATGGATTACTCGAGAAAGAGGATGTGTACAGCTCTCTTCTGAAAGCCTAGTTCACCTAAACGGTGCCTCAGCTAGAAAATGCATTGCAGGGCTGATTCATGAAAATAACTACCACCATAAAAATGATCAGCGTTACAGTTGTTGCACAACTGCTAGTTTATGAGCATAAAGACTTGAAGCCTTTGTATTTGATTAGCATTTTTAAGTATATCATCGCAAAGAAGTGCTGCTCGGGAACGGAGTATGATTCTTGCTAATATTATGGGTTGGGTGTATATATATATATTCATTTAGGGCCTTGTCGCCGCGCTGAGCCTCCTCCTGGGCCATGGCTATGCCCTCGCCCACATCCCTAGCCACCCCACACGCTGCCAGCCCTGTTCCCACACCTGCAGGTAGACACAAGAGAGGCGAAAGGAGGAGAAGCATTACTGAGGGAACATGAGAACATGCTGTGGATTGGGCCTTACCTTTTGTGTGGGATTGCTGGGTGCTGAACGTGCTGCTAGACATGAGCTCACACCCTGGGTTCGAATGGGAGGAGCGCCTAAGGTAATCTATTGAGGGACGCGAGGAGTGAGGAGAGAGGAAAGAGCGAGAGGTGGCGGATGTGAGAGCGAGGGAAACGAGAGCAGGAGGTCAGTGGCTCAAGCACGTCTGTAGGGCTTGTGAGAGAGGCAGGGAGAGAGGGACATTGTGAGACGTGGGACAAGGGGGGAGAGGGACAGTGGAGGAGAGGGACAAGAGGGGAGAGGGGGGAGAGGGACAGTGGAGGAGAGGGACAAGAGGGGAGAGGGGGGAGAGGGACAAGGGGAAAAAAGGAACGGGGGGAAAGCGAGAGACAAGGAAGGAGAGCGATAGGAGGGGGAATAGGGACAGGGGGGGGAAAGGGGCAGGATGAGAAGAGGGACAAAGGGGAAAGAGGGACGAGGGGCAGAGAGGGACAGGCGAGGGAGAGGGACAAAGGGGGAGAGGGACAAAGGGGGAGAGGGACAAAGGGGGAGAGGGAAAAAGGGGGAGAGGGACAAAGGGGGAGAGGGAAAAAGGGGGAGAGAGACAAAGGGGGAGAGGGACAAAGGGGGAGAGGGACAAAGTGGGAGAGGGACAGGGACAGAGAGGGACATGCGGGGGAGTGGAACAGGGGAGGGAGAGGGGGTGGCAGCTCGAGTGAGGAATGGAGTGAGGTGGACTGATCCATGGGGTGGACTGACTGACCCATGGGGTGGACTGACTGACCCATGGGGTGGACTGACTGACCCATGGGGGAGATCTCATCGAGCCCGTAGGAGTGCACCACCAGCGCTCTGCGGATGCCCATGCGCACGAGGTCATGAGGTCCACCTGGTTGGTCCAGACAGGTGCAGAGGGATGCAGAGAAGTGCAGAGGGGTGAACAGAGGTGCAGAGGGTTGCTGCAGAAAGTTACAAATCATTGTGGTTGGGTGACCTCGTTGATTCAAAGGCAGAGGTACCATAGACCCATTCGTGCAGCATGTTCAAGCCACACACATGGTGTGTGTCTCATCATGGTGTGTGTTGCATCATGGTGTGCGTCGCATCATGGTGTGTGTCGCATCATGGTGTGCGTCGTCGCATCATGGTGTGCGTCGCATGGTGTGCGGACGATAGTGTGAGTCACATCTCCCACTCACCCCCCGGCCGCCACTACTCCGCGGAGAGAGAGGGATGGGAGAGGAAGGGGGGAGAGCACTCGAACAAGCCTGTGGGTTGCTTTTCTCATTCATAGGGTGCTGACACTCGTCAGAACACACACATGGACCCCAAACCTCGTGGTCCCTGTGTGCGGAAGTCACGTGCACCTCTGTCCTGCCACACCCACACGCATTGCCGAATCCAAGCCCACACCCCACACACAGAGCAAGTATGGACGCCCGTGCTCATGTTGACAGCGCCATCCCCCCCGCCTTGCCACCCACATCCCCGCCCTCATCATCCCCCACCCCCCCGCCCTCATCATACCCCACCCCCCCGCCCTCATCATCCCCCACCCCCTCGCCCACAACAACTCCCAACCCCCTGTCCTCATTATCTCCAACCCCCCGCCCGCATTATTCCCCCACATCGCGGAAAAGGCAAGTGCCAAAAAAAACTTTGCAGTTGCATTCGCCACGCAAAAAAAAAGTTTGACTCGACAACAGTGGTAGCGTCAGTAACTGCAATCGTCACCTTTCTGTCACTTTCTGTCAACACGGTGTGCAGATTCCCGCATCCAGCACGCAAGTGTCCGGGCAACTTTACAAATGGCATACAGTAACCCCCCACGTAACTCACACAATCACGATAACGTTGCTCCGCCACCACCCATCACACATACCTCCCAGCAACCAAAGCATGTGGGGACGTGCACGTGCCCACGTGTACGTCAATTACACCCGTACCTGCCACGTAAGCGTACACCGCCAAGACTTGCCGAACCTACCACAGTCGCGCGATTGCGCACCACAACACCAAATCGGCACCGTTCACGTGTAATGTGCTCCACAAGTCGCCCTACAAGTTACACTTTCGCCAGCCCGCACAGTTGGATTGATTTGGGACTACAGTCCACATCCAGGCCGTCCATTTCTCGAGTGTTGAATGCCGCGCACCACTGCGAACCCGCCATGTGCAACCCACTCCGTGACTCGACACAGAACACCCACGCGCCTTCTCATAACCCGCATCTCCCACATCTCTTAATCACTCGTCATCGTACTACGTGTAACACCATCTCGCAGTGACCTCGCGTGCGGCGCCTATCCACTTGTTTACGTGCATCCTCCTCGCCCAACACTCGAGCAACAACTCAAAGGCCGCCACGTATCACAGACACTTTAGGGAAATCGCCCCTGAAATCGCTTATGCGTGCGCCTACAAGCCACACGGCTCCTACGCGTCGCACCACCTCGTTCCGAGCGCTCAGGGAGGATGCCCATCACCCAAAAACCACCGTCGTGCATGTGTCGGCTTGTCGCCCTATCGCACCGCTTGTAACATCGTCGCCTGCACCACACTTCCTACTTCGCACAAATCGCGGCATCAGGAGAGGCGTCCACGGTGGATAGAAACTAACCAACATTACAACGACACGCGTCACCTATACCCCTGTCACAAACGCCACCTTTTTCCAACACGCCAACTGCGTGCCGACACCTGCACTCATCATTTACCGCATATGGTGCCTCGTCAACCTTTTGCGCCAATCACGGCAACCCACGTGATGCTTGCTGGATGGCCGGATCCGGCAATCATTGCCCGATCAGGTACTCTTTGACTACCGCGGCGTCAAATGCGGAGCATTTCACGGGCGCTTTGGGTTTTTATGTTCATTTGGTGATTTCCACACTCTCATCCCCGCGCAGTAGTGTACTACAAAAAGTACCAAACCATGTCCATGTCAGAGTATTATAGCTGATGCATGTTTGTAGGCTATAGTGGGGTAGCACATATGGGGTACAGGGTTTCTAGGGTTGTATTTGTACCCAATCTTTCCTTAGTCATCCCCATTCCTGGTCATTCTTTTCACATGGTATAGAGCGGGTCCCTCCTAAGGACCGTTTTTTTTTAAGGGCCCACCCACGATTTTTTTTTCTGCCCGGAGCGCGCCCTATTCTCCCCGAGGCGCGCTCCCCCTAGTGCTTGTCGCGCTGCCCTTGTGGCGCCCCGAGAGTCGCGCGCGCGACTCCTTTTTTTTTTTTTTTTTTTTTTTTTTTTTTTTTTTCGCGCGCGCGGCCCGGGCCCCACGTAGCGCTGGCCTTACGACCGCGCCGCGCCGCCCTCTCAGCTCTGCCGCGCCGCGCCGCCCTCACGCCGGCCGCGCGGCCTCTTCGTCGCTGCAGCGGGCCCCGTCACCTGACGGCCCCGCCGTCCTACTCCCGGCCCCGCCGCTGCACCCTGCCGGCCCCGCCGCTGCACCTCTGTCGGCCCCGCCGCTGCACCCTAAAGGCCCCGCCGTCCCCTGTCACGGCCCTGCCGTCCCCTGTCACGGCCCCGCCGCTGCACCCTGACGGCCCCGCCACTGCACCAGTCGGCCCCGCCGCTGCACCCTGACGGCCCCGCCGTCCCCTGTCCCGGCCCCGCCGCTGCACCCTGCCGGCCCCGCCGTTGCACCCTGACGGCCCCGCCGCTGCACCCTAACGGCCCCGCCGCTGCACCCTGACGGCCCCGCCGTCCCCTGTCCCGGCCCCGCCGCTGCACCCTGCCGGCCCCGCCGCTGCACCCTGACGGCCCCGCCGTCCCCTGACACGGCCCCGCCGCTGCACCTTGCCGGCCCCGCCGCTGCACCCTGACGGCCCCGCCGTCCCCTCTCCCGGCCCCGTTCTGCACCCGAGCCGCCCTGCCGCCGAGCCGCCCGGGAGCCGAGCCGCCCAGCAGCTGAGTCGCTGAGTCGCCGAGCTGCCCTTCTGCAGAGTTTCCCGGCCTGCCCTGCCTGGTGAGCACAGTCGCACTGTCACTGCGTGTTCTTCCCCTACTGCTTGCACTGCTTCGCTGTCGTCGTCATGGCTACCCCTAGTGTCCTAGCTTTTGACGCTGAGGGTCGCGCCATTGATTTTGAGGTCTGGTTAGACGACCTGCAGCTGTTCTTACAGTGCGACAGGGCTGACAGCCTTTCTCTCTTTGACCTCACCTCTGGCGCCTCTCCTGCTCCTGCTGCTGATGCTGATCCCACTGTCCGCTCTCAGTGGGCCACCCGCGATGCTGCTGCACGTCTTGCTGTGCGTCGCCACCTCCCTACCTCTGAGCGTGCGCACTTTAGTCAGTACAAGAGTGCTCAGACCTTGTACGACGCTGTAGTTGCGCGCTACTCCTCCCCTGCCACTGCTGCACTGAGCCGTCTCATGCTTCCCTACCTCTTTCCTGACCTCTCTGCCTTTCCCACTGTCGCTGACCTCATTACGCACCTCCGCACTAGCGACACTCGCTACCGCGCCGCCCTTCCTGCTGAGTTCTGCGCTAAGAACCCACCCCCCATGTACATCGCTCTCTACTACGTAGTTGCGCGCCTCCCTGACTCCCTTCGCGTCGTCAGGGACCACTTTCTCGCAGTCTGTCCCACCACCCTCACCGTCGACCTCCTCGAGAAGGCCCTCCTCGCAGCGGAGAAGAGCATAGTCGCTGTAGGTGCTTCTCGTGGTGACCCTCGCACCCCCATCTTTGAGGGGTGCTCTCCTTCCCCCTTGCTGCCTTCTGTTGCCTCTGCTGCTGCTGCTGCCGACCTGCTTGGTCTTGAGTCGGTCGGCGCGGCGTCTACCCCTAGTGGGAGACGTCGCTCCAGCAAGGGCAAGGGGGGCAAGGGCGCGGGTGGAGCTGGAGGAAGCGGTGGCGGTGGCGGCAGTGGCGGCGGAGGGAGTGGGGGTGGCGGCGGGACTAGTGGCGGGGGTGGTGGTGGTGGTGGCAGCAGCGGCGGAGACGGTGGTGGTGGTGCCAGCGGTGGTGGTGGAGGCAGCGGCGGAGGTGGAGGCGGCGGAGGTGGAGGCGGTGGAGGCGGCAGCGGAGGAGGCGGTGGTGGTGGAGGAGGTGGAGCTGGTCGAGGTGGTACCCAGCAGCGTAGCGGCGGTGGTGGTGGCCAGCGCTCGCAGCGGCAGCAGCAGCAGCGCTCGCGGGACATCCCTCCGCCTCAGCAGCTTCGTGAGTGGTACGCTGGGCGTCAGAGGGGTGGGGGTACTGGTCCCTGCACCTACGTTCTTCGTTCCGGCGACCGCGCGGGTGAGCAGTGTGGGGGTGCCCACGCCACCCAGCGCTGCTTTGGCCGCCTGACGGACGCTTGGCGTTGGCAGTTCCCTGGGGCTAGTGAGATCCCTCGCTGGGATGAGCTTCTAAGGGCTGGTGTAGCGATCTTTGATCTTGATTTTGATGCTATCCTTTCTGCTATGTATGCTGTGGATTATAGTGAGGAGAATGAGGGTTACCGGTGTTTCCAGCCCGACCCGGGCATTGGTACTGCTGCGCTAGGTGCTTGTGAGGCTGCTGCTCTAGGTGCCAGTGCGACTGCGCTCTCAGGTACTGGTGAGACTGCGCTCTCAGGTACTGCGTCGTCCTCGTCCTCCCTCACTTTCACACTTGACTCCGGGGCTTCTCGCTCCTTCTTTCGAGACCGCACTACCCTTACGCCGCTCGGCCGGCCGGTTGCGGTCTCCCTTGCTGACCCCTCTGGGGGTCCTGTCCTTTCTCACTTCTCCACTGTCCTCCCGTGTCCGGCTGCCCCTTCGGGCACCCTGTCTGGTCTGTACCTTCCCTCGTTCTCTACAAACTTGGTGAGTGGAGCGGACCTGCAGGATGTGGGGGTTCACCAGTTCACTCCTGCGAGTCAGCGGGTGACCCACTGCACGGAGGCACGCACAGGCCGACACCTGGCCACGTTCTCGCGTCGGCCGGGGTCGAGTCTCTACACCCTGACCGTTGAGTCTCCTCCTGTCCCTGCGTCTGGTCAGGTGGCTGCGTCGGGTCAGGTACTTGCTGCTGCGTCCCGGTCAGGTCCTGAGTCTGCCCCCTGTTCTTGTCGCCTCCTGTCTCACGAGACTCTCCTGTGGCACCACCGTCTTGGCCACCCCTCCTTGCCCCGTCTTCGGAGCATGGCTTCCCGTGTCCTTGTCTCTGGTCTTCCCCAGTCTCTCCCTCCTCTCCCCTCCGGGCCAGGACCTTCCTGTGTCCCCTGTGTCGAGGGTCGCCTCCGGGCTACTCCTCACTCCTCCCACTTCCCCCCGACAGAGGCTCCCCTGCAGACGCTTCACATGGATGTGTGGGGCCCAGCCCCCGTCCGTGGGCAGGGTTACGAGCGCTACTTCCTGTTGGTGGTTGACGACTACTCGCGTTACACCACAGTCCTCCCCTTGCGCAGCAAGGGTGCGGTCACTGAGGTGCTGATCGACTGGATCCGCGAGGCTCGTCTCCAGCTCAGGAAGAGCTTCGGCTCGGACTTTCCTGTTCTGCGTCTGCACTCGGACAGAGGCGGAGAGTTCTCTTCTCGCCTTCTGCGGGACTACTGTCGTGCACAGGGGATTCGCCAGACCTTCACGCTTCTGGACTCACCACAGCAAAATGGGATTGCTGAGCGCCGCATTGGCATGGTCATGGATGTCGCTCGTACGTCCATGATGCATGCGGCTGCCCCCCATTTTCTGTGGCCGTTTGCGGTGAGGTACGCGGCGCATCAGCTCAACCTTCACCCCCGGGTCTCTCGGCCTGCGATGTCCCCAGCCTTGCTGTGGACGGGGAAGGTTGGCGATGCGTCTGTGTTCCGTGTCTGGGGATCTCGGGCGTTTGTCCGCGACTTGTCTGCGGACAAGCTGTCCCCTCGTGCTGCTCCCTTTGTCTTCCTTGGCTTCCCCACTGACGCCCCAGGGTGGCAGTTTTACCACCCCTCCTCTCGTTGTGTTCTGTCCTCCCAGGACGTCACGTTCGACGAGTCCGTCCCCTTCTACGGTCTCTTCCCCTACCGCACTCCTTCCCTCCCCCCTCCCCCGGACTTCCTTGTGCCGGTTCCCCCCCCGGTAGACCCCCTCCCCCCTCAGGTTCCTGCCCCCTCAGGTGTGTCCCAGGTAGACGCCGTTGACCCGGTCGAGGTTACTGGTGACTCTGGGGGTGCTGTGCGAGGGGGTGCTGAGCCTGGGGGTGCTACTGCTGGGGGTGCTGGGCCTGAGGGTGCTACTGCGGAGGGTGCGGAGCCTGGGGGTGCTGAGCCTGGGGGTGCTGTGCCTGGAGGTGCTGGGTCTGGGGGTGCTGGGTCGGGAGCTGCTGAGCCTGGGGGTGCTGAGCTGAGAGCTGCTGAGCCTGGGGGTGCTGCGTCTGGAGCTGCTGAGCCTGGGGTTTCTCCTGCTGCTGCGTCTCGCCGGGAGCCCCTCTCTCCACAGGAGCTGCGCGAGTGGTTCGCTCGCCGCTGGAGGCGTGCTGCTGAGTCTGGAGGTGCTGCTGGAGCTGGAGCTGGAGCTTCTTCGACCGTCGAGGGTGCGGGTGCTGCCGATCCCGGAGCTGCTGGACCTGCGGGTCCTCCTGGAGCTGGAGCTGCTGAGGGCGTTGGTGCTGAGCCTACTGCTGTTGGTCCTGCCGCTGGAGGTGTGGGTGGCGCTGGTGCTGTCGCTGAGGGTGGTGGTGCTGTCCCTGCTTAGTCAGGAGCTGCCGCGCGGCCTCGGCCGTGCTTCGTTCCGCTCCTGCAGCAGGTTCTTGGTCTTTCTCCTCTAGTAGAGGGTCCACCGCTTGTCCAGTCGCAGTCCCTGCTGGAGCCTTCCTCTCCACTGCCTGCTCCCTGTCCTTACACTGGTCCTACTGGAGGTCTTGCTGAGCGTCGTAAGCCTGCGTCTCGTCCCGCGTCGCCTGTTCGTGCTGCTCGCGCTAGTGGTCGCAGTTCGCGTCAGCGTCCTCCTCCTGTCCCTGGCACGCACCGGATGTCTTTGCGTCCGTCCACTGCTCCTCTGCGTGCCCCTTTGCCTTCTCCTCCTGAGTCCTCTCTTCCTGCGCTTGCCGACCCTGAGTCGGACTCTCTTCGTGCTGCCAGTCCTACTGTCACGCGTCTGCTTGCTACTGTCGTCACTAACCCCTCTTTTGAGTCCACTGCTGCGTCTGCTCTAGTCGCTGAGCTCGTCGACTTTGCTGCTCGCTGTCGTCTCGACTACGCTGCTAGTCTTGTTGCTGAGTCTGCGTCTGTCTGTCCTCCGTTCGTCGGGGGTGAGTGTGCTCTTGGCACGGACGTCCTAGAGGACAGGCAGGAGGAGTTACAGTGTCTAGCGGCTGCTTCACCTCATCTCGCGTCTGTACTGCTTGCCCCTGAGGGAGACCCGGATGCACTAGACATCCCGACTCCGCGTTCTTACGCGGAGGCCGTAGAGGGTCCCTACTCCTCTCAGTGGCAGGCAGCTATGGATGCAGAGATGGCTTCCTGGAAGTCCACAGGCACCTACGTTGACGCGGTTCCCCCTCCTGGGGCGAACATCGTCAGTGGCATGTGGATCTTCAGGGTGAAGCGGCCGCCGGGCTCTCCACCTGTCTTCAAGGCACGGTACGTTGCTCGTGGCTTCAGTCAGCGGCAGGGAGTTGACTACTTTCAGACCTTCTCTCCCACCCCGAAGATGACAACTCTTCGGGTGCTGCTGCACATAGCCGCTCAGCGCGACTACGAGCTTCACTCTCTCGACTTCAGCACTGCGTTCTTGCAGGGTAGCCTGCACGAGGAGATCTGGCTTCGCCGTCCACCTGGCTTCACTGGGACTTTCCCTCCTGGCACCCAGTGGAGCCTCCGACGGCCAGTCTACGGTCTCCGCCAGGCACCGCGTGAGTGGCACGACACACTGAGGACTACGCTTGCGGCTCTTGGGTTTGCTCCTTCTACTGCTGACCCGTCGCTGTTTCTTCGCACCGACACTTCCCTGCCGCCGTTTTACATCCTCGTGTACGTCGACGACTTGGTCTTTGCCACAGCGGACACTGCTGGACTCGCCTACGTGAAGTCCGAGCTGCTGAAGAGACACACGTGCACAGACCTGGGTGAACTGCGCAGCTACCTTGGCTTGCAGATCACTCGGGACAGAGCACGCCGCACCATTACCTTGACTCAGTCACACATGGTGCAGCAGGTCCTTCAGCGCTTCGGCTTCATGTACTTCTCGCCTCAGGCCACTCCTCTGCCTACTCGCCACTCACTCTCAGCTCTGCCTTCGGATGAGTCCGTAGAGTCGAGTGGTCCGTATGCAGAGCTTGTTGGCTGCCTCATGTACCTGATGACCTGCACACGACCTGACCTTGCATACCCTCTGAGCATTCTTGCACGCTATTTTGCTCCTGGGAGACACAGACCGGAGCACATGGCTACAGCGAAGAGGGTATTGCGCTACCTGTGCAGTACGTGGGGCATGGGGCTAGTGCTTGGAGGGCGGAGTCCAGTGGTCCTTACCGGCCACGCGGATGCTTCTTGGGCTGACGACCAGGCTACGCAGCGGTCGTCACAGGGTTACACCTTCAGCCTTGGTTCCGGCTCTGTCTCGTGGCGGTCTACTCGCTCGTCTTCGGTTCTCGGCTCCAGTTGTGAGGCTGAGATCTACGCCGGGGCCATGGCTGCACAGGAGCTTTGCTGGCTCACCTACCTGCTGACTGACCTTGGAGAGCCGCCTCGTTCTCCTCCAGTGCTGTACGTAGACAACAAGGCCATGCTGGCCTTGTGTCGAGAGCAGCGCTTGGAGCACAGAACGAAGCACATTGCTCTCCGCTACTTCCTTGCTCGTGAGCTGCAGCAGCGTGGTCAGTTGCGACTTGCATACGTGGCCTCTGAGGCCAACACTGCTGATGTGTTCACCAAGGCACTCGCGCCTTGTGACCATCAGCGCTTTTGCACCCAGCTGGGTCTTGTACCTGTCTTGCCTCACTTGCTCTCCTCTTGACTTCACTTGTACTGTGACATATATATATACCTGCTCTTGCTTGTCTAGTTTTATATATATGTCTGTACTCCTGCATGTGAACTGGCCTCTGGCCCTGCTCTTGTGCTCGGACTGTGTGGTGACTTTGTGATCCACCCTGAGCTTTCTTTGCTTTGTTTTGCTTGACTGGTCTTGTGACCCCTTGTTCTCCCCCACTTAGCCTATGGGGGTGTGTCAGAGTATTATAGCTGATGCATGTTTGTAGGCTATAGTGGGGGTAGCACATATGGGGTACAGGGTTTCTAGGGTTGTATTTGTACCCAATCTTTCCTTAGTCATCCCCATTCCTGTTCATTCTTTTCACAGTCCACTAAACCCACACAAAACAAGCATCACAATACATTTAACACAACCGTCTACTTGCCTTCAAACGCCGTATACTTAGGCGGAATTCTAGCAACCTAAAAACCCAAACACGGAACATAAATATCAAAAGCGCACACACAACCAACGTCATCCCACTCCAGGGCAGGTCTATGCCCTCCATCATCCCGGCCTCCCCCTCCCCGCTGCTCTACACGCCCTCGACTGACACCGACTGCACATCATTCCCAGTGCCGTCTCCGCCGCTAGCGCCAGCATTAGGCTTAATGTTCTCAAGACTGTCAGAATGTAATTGTATACATTACTATAACTGCCTGTAGTGTAGACCTAGTGTAGTTATATCGCTTTCATGTTAGGTGGTGCACCCTTTTCCTTCACTAATAATCTATACTGAACCTCATCATTTCTCTCGACACTTTTCCCTTTCAACTCAAACTTCTCCTAAGCTACCATGGCCACTATGCCTAACTAGCTAGGATCTTGACATGCTATCAGAGTACTAAGGTCTTGACCTGTGGGCCCACCATACTGCTTCCGCTGCTACTCTGTGTTCGGCACGCCCCGTGGCGTACCCCTTAACCTTTTCTTAGCGGCCCCGTTGCCGCCCTTTCAGGCCCCTCGCGACCCCTTTGCTTCGGCCCCGTCGCCGCCCTTCCGCAGCCCCGTCGCCGCCCCCTTTCAGCGGCCCCGTCGCCGCCCTTTCAGCTGCCCCGTCATCGCCCGCCCTTCCGCAGGCCCCGCTAAGGACCCGCTACGGCCCCGCTTCGGCCCCGCTTAGGCCCCGCTACGGCCCCGTCGCCCACCTGCGGCCCCGTCGCCCACCACGGCCCCGTCGCCACCTGCGGCCCCGTCGCCCATCACGGCCCCGTCGCCACCTGCGGCCCCGTCGCCCACCACGGCCCCGTCGCCACCTGCGGCCCCGTCGCCCGCTGCGGCCCCGTCGCCACCTGCGGCCCCGTCGCCACCTACGGCCCCGTCGCCCACTCTGGCCCCAATGCCACCTGCGGCCCCGCCCACTTGCGGCCCCGACCCCGCCCCGGCCATGCCCTGTCACCAGCTGCGGCACACCGGGGGCACGTGCATCGCCCCCCCCCCCCCCCCCCCCCCCCCCCCTTTTCCCGTCACCTATCCCGGCTCCTTCGGGGGCCGCGACCTGGAAGGCGTGGGCAGGCGTCGCCCCCTCTGCCGCCTGCTTTGGCGCCCGGGGAGGCCGTGCGTCGCCCCTCCCCCCCCCCCCCCCCCCCCCCCCTTCCCCCTTCTCCTTCGTCTCCCTGCAGCTGCAGGGGGGAGGGTCTGGGGGTGGCGGGTGTGGGGGTGATGGGTGTTGTGCTTCCCTTCCCCTCCTCCTCCTTTCGTTCCCACTGCTACAGCTGCTGCTCGGGGGGAGGGTGTGAGGGTGTGGGGGAGCCGGGGGAGAGGCATTGGGGTGGCGGGTGTGAGACCAACCTGCAGCCGTCCCTCCACCTCTCCTCTCTCCCCCCCTCTGCTGCTCCTGCAGCAGTGTGTGGGGGAGGGGGAGAGGGAGGGGGAGGGTGAGGGGATGGAGTGGGTGACAAACTAGCTCTATTACCTTGTCTGTTGTTGCTGCTTTCTTTGCACTTGGTGTACCTCTGCAGGAGGTGTACTGCACACGGTTCTTCACTGCAGACAGTTAGGGGGTGTGTCAGAATGTAATTGTATACATTACTATAACTGCCTGTAGTGTAGACCTAGTGTAGTTATATCGCTTTCATGTTAGGTGGTGCACCCTTTTCCTTCACTATATCTTGTACAACTTTCTATAGTGAACCTCATCATTTCTCTCGACATTTTTCCCTTTCAACTCAAACTTCTCCTAAGCTACCATGGCCACTATGCCTAACTAGCACTAGGATCTTGACAAAGACCACAGGCAGAAAGGCGGAGGTCGTGGCGTCCCCAAATCCATTCCTCCTTCTCGTCGTCGTACTCGGGATTGAAGTGATGGATGGCCTGTGAAACGGAGCCCTTCACAAGCACCTTGAGCCCGTTCACGACGTGGCCGTTCCCCCCGGCCGAGTTAGAGAGGCGGCCCATCCTCTGCTCCCAACACATGATGCTGTCGGACACCTGAAAGGAAATACACACCGTGCACGCCTTGTAAGACTTCAGCCATGTTCAAACTAACCACCAAAGTCATACAATGTCACTCACCACGTGCTCCAACCACGCAAAGTGGTAAACCTTCAAAGTGAGCAGTAGTGCAGCCTTCTTCAGAATGAAGGCAGCCTTTGCGCACGCTGCAAACGCGGCAGACGCAAAGGGCATCCCGTCGCGGTTGTTTGACCAGTTGCTCAGCACCAGATCTGTCGTACACACCGCGGATAGAATGGTGGGGTTTAAAGACTAAAAGCACAAAAGCACACCTCACCACTGTCTAAAAGCACCAGAACACCGCTTACCGCTCTCCTCTGCACCGAGCCCAATGCGCTCCCGAATCTGCTCCAGCGTGCGTGCGTTGTCCCTTGCCCACGGGCTTGCCTCGTCGCGCTCATCACGGAAGAATCCAAGCTTAGGGAGCGCAATGTCCCGGACCCGTCCTGCAGCCCTTGTCTTCCACTTGCTCAACGTCTTGTTAAGGTCAGCACGGCGGGACTTGTCCGCGGCAAGCGCAAGGCACGTGAAGCTATGCGGCAGGCGGTCAATCACTGCGCAAACGCCATTAGTCTTGTCGTCAGAGCTCGGATAGAAAGTCATGGTTGCGGCCGGCTTCTTCAAGAACAGCTGCACTCGGACCAGCTCGCATAGGCACTGTACACAAGTTAGGTACCATGGGAAACTGTCAATGAGTCTAATGCTCCACAACACTCCATCGCACGGCAAAAAGCGCACGCTCCGTAAGGAATGTTACATGATTGGTAGCACATCCCACCTTCCAAGCCTTGTCGGCCGGCAGCAGATCAAGTGCGCGCTACAGAACAGGCGACTTCGCAGAGCGCATGTGCTTCCGACGCGCTGTCCGAATCTGTGCCATGTCCTCGTAGTCGTCGTCTTCCTCCTCATCGTCATCCTCCTCAACGTCTGCCACTGCCTCGCCGCGACGCTGGCGCTTTGGGTTCATGCATCCCTGCTCGGGATCCCTCTGCCGCTCCGCCTTGCGCCGACGGGACCCCCCATCGGACTTCGCCAGTGCCTCCAAAAGCAGAGTTTCCAAGCGGGCCACCTTCTGCGCGCTCTCGTCTTGTGACTTAAGCAGGCTCCTGAATACTCCCACGGAAATGCGCACCTCCTCGCCATGCGTGTCCACAACATCGTTCTCGCGGTACGCGCTGGTTTCGAACATCGTGCGCATCGCGTCACCCACATCCTTGTCATCCTCCTCTTCGGATGCGTTTATATTGCTCACGATGTGTGCCTGTTCACCCCCTTCTACGTCCTTGCCTTGATTCCGATTCACCAGACGAGGAGCAGCGCCGCTCTTGGAACGCGAATCGGGCGAGTCACTCACCAGCGCTTGTTTGCCGACCCTGCTAGGAGAAGCGTCCGATGTCTCACCCTCAGTATTATCTGTAGACGTAGGAATGTAGGCGGAGTAGACAGTTAAATCCGGGCAACACAAGCTCCAAGGCGGAAGTAGGGGGAAAGACAACACTTTCTTAATCAAAACGGCCACAAAACGCTAAAGCAGCGTCATACATTTTGTACAACCAGCACATCAAACCGTCATCATTGTCACGAATTGCTTTCCCGCTAGCATCCGCTCTGGTAATGGCCAAACGCTTTGGCAAGGCCGTTCCGCGAGTCCCCCTTGGCATGCGCCCACGAGGAGTTGCAAGCTGATATGCCACGCGCAGGTACGCCGGGGGCTAGGACACTCGCCGTGCACGCCCCGCGTTGCCAGTATCTTCAGAAGCGACGGAAGTCTCTATTGTTAACGACTGACATTGTTTGCGTGCAAGGCACGCAAGCCAAGTACTCAGATTGACCTTGCAAAGTATACGGTAACGCGTAAACCTTGCTCAACAACGTCCACAACCATCGAGCGAAACCGTTGCCACCCATTAGGATAAACGCAATCACCGACATCCACTGGAAAACGACCTCCTCGATTTCTGTAATCTTGGTTAGCGAATACGATTCATCCACTGATCACCGTCAACTTTCATCCTACCACCCGTACTCTCGATACCATTTCCGAGTCCTGCTACAATAGTTCCTTCTCTTGCTAGCTATTTCATACCAATTAAACATTCAGCAGAGGAAACACCACAGTATCAAACTATTAATGACACACTACATTTAAAGTACAAACCACACATGTGTACATGCATCCTCCACGAAAGCCTTCTCTACCCCATGATCCACTCTCATTTCCCACTGATATCCCAAGCACCATCCTTCTGCCTCCCACGACCAGTTTCATCTGTCTTTTCCTCGAAGGACTTTGCCTCTGCACCGCGGGCCATCTTACGCGCCCTGCTGTTTTCTGCTTCGTGGGCAACGATTACGGTGTCCTCACTGCCAGCCTTCTCGCCTTCAGCCTCCCCTGCCGTGCCCCCACCTTGAACACCACTCCCCTTGCGCGGTCTCCCCCTCTTTGCACGCATTGCATTCTTCTTTGTGCGCGCTGCCTTCCACATCAGACCTTCGTAAGTCTCCCTCCATACCCCACAGCGGCACCACATGCGGGCATCCAGCATGACTTTCAGGATTTCGGGAGTGCACCCCTTCAAAGATGCCTTATCAGCCGGTGTTAAAGCCATAGAGTTCCAGGTGCCTTTACCAGGCCTCAGCACATGGGCAGCTGCCGCGTAGCAATACGCTGCCTCCTCATCGTGGTGTACGCGCCGACTCTCTTCGTTATCTTCTTCCCCTCCTTGTCCTTTGCGACGACCTTCATGAGGAAATGAGAACGAGAATGATGCACGAAGGAATGGAAGTGATACAAATATGCAACCCTAGATCTGTGTACCCCATATGGGCTACCCCACTATAGCCTACAGAATGTTATAATTTGACACACCCCCATAGGCAAAGTGAGGGAGAACAAGGGGTCACAAGACCAGTCAAACAAAGCCAAGCAAAGCTCAGGGTGGATCACAACGTCACCACACAGTCCGAGCACAAGGTCAAGGCCATAAGGCCAGTTCACATGCAGGAGTGCACACATATATATAAGACTAAACAAGTAAGAGCAAGTATATATATATGCAAGAGTACAAGTAAGATCAAGAGGTGAGCAGTGAGGCAAGACAGGTACAAGACCCAGCTGAGTACAGAAGCGCTGATGATCACAAGGCGGAAGTGCCTTGGTGAAAACATCACCAGTGTTGGCCTCTGAGGCCACATACGCAAGTCGCAATTGACCACGCTGCTGCAGCTCACGAGCAAGAAAGTAGCGGAGTGCAATGTGCTTCGTTCTGTGCTCCAACCGCTGCTCCCGACACGAGGCCAGCATGGCCTTGTTGTCTACGTACAGCACTGGAGGAGAACGAGGCGGCTCTCCGAGGTCAGTCAGCACGTAGGTGATCCAGCGAAGCTCCTGTGCAGCCATGGCCCCGGCGTAGATCTCAGCCTCACAACTGGAGCAGAGAACAGAAGACGAGCGAGTAGCCCACCACGAGACAGAGCCGGAACCAAGACTGAAGGTGTAACCCTGTGATGACCGCTGCGTAGCCTGGTCGTCAGCCCAAGAAGCGTCCGCGTGCCCAGTGAGGACCACTCGACTCCGCCCTCCAAGCACTAGCCCCGTGCCCGACGTACTGCACAAGTAACGCAACACCCTCTTCGCTGCAGCCATGTGCTCTGGTCTGTGTCTCCCAGGAGCAACAAAGCGTGCAAGAATGCTAAGAGGGTATGCCAGGTCAGGTCGTGTGCAGGTCATTGCGGAGATAACTGTAGCAACGGGAGCTAGGCTACGGGCTAGGCACGTGTGCTCGTGTGATCTCTGCGTTCTCTGTTCCTTAGTTGTTTTCCTTGTACGCACACTACTTGCTAGTTCACGGGGAAAATTGGCAAGAGTTTTTACTAGGAAAAGTTCAGAACAATCGGTCAATGAAGTTGGCATAGCAAGACTACATCAGAGCAAGCATTCAGGTCGGCCAACTGCCAGCGCAGCTTGGTCGACCGCGTTCCAGCACGACTTGGTCGACCGCACTCCAGCAAGGCAAGGTCGACGGCGTGCCAACGTCGCAGGTTGACGGCGTGCCAGCGTTGCTCACGCAGGACAGCAGTTCACCCTGCTTCGCAGTTGTGCGCAGATGATTGGCGCGCAGAGTCTTGTCACCTGCACAGCGCACACACCACGTCAACCTCGAGCTGACGACTGCCTCTGATCCGCCACGACGACCTCGGGATACCACCACCGAGGTCGGGCTCGCCAACTTCGCCTGGGCGACCGTCGCACTCCTCCGCAGCACTTCGTCACCCAGGTAACCTGGTCGACCAGGCAACCACGTCGACCAGCAGCTCTCGTACGTGCCCGTCGACCTCCCAAGTCGACGACCACCTCCACGTCAACCTCACCAGGTCGACGACACCATCGGTCGACCTCCTCCAGGTCGACATCCCCTCTGGTCGACCAGCTCCACATCGACCAGCACTCCTGGTCAACCTGCTCCTCGTCGACCAGCACAGTCGCCGGCCGACCGAAGCTGGCGTCACGAAGTTGACGCCCCGCTACTCGACGCCCAACTGCTCGGCGTCCTGAGTCGAGGTCGACGTCGGCCCCTCCTTCGTCGACCACCAGGTCCAGTCGACCACTAGCAGGTCGACCAGCAGTCCGTTAGCCGACTGCCGAAGTCGGCTTCCCCAAGTTGACGTCACCAAGTTGACGTCCTCCGCAGGTCGACACCCAAGTCGACCTCCCTGAAGTCGGCGCCCGTGCATTGGTCCCCCGTGCAGGTCGACCTCCTTGTCGACCAGCTCACCCACTGCTAGAGGTCGGCTGCTCCCCTCACACCCGACCACGAGGTCGGCTCCGCCCAAGCGAGGACGGGGCCAATATACAACTCCCGTTGACACTCCCCTGCCGCGTTCACGCTTGGGCCCCTACTCGGCAGTACTCCTCAGAGAATAGCTCGTCGACGTGCACCCAACACACAGCACGTCGTCCACCGCACCAGCCACGCAAGAGGGCATGGCACCTACTGCTGCACGTCGTTGTCGCCGTTGCCCACGTCGGCCAAGCGCACTTGGCCGATTGCGACGGAGCACCGGTTGAAGGCCGGATAGTGCAGCGCCTTCGTCAGGAAGTCGGCCGGCTGCTCAGCGGTCGGGATGTACTGCAGCGAGAACTTCCCGCGCCTCACCATGTGCTGCAGCCAGGCTTGTCGCCGTTCCATGTGCTTGAGGTTGCCTGTCAACCCCATGCCCTCGGTGACCGTGATGGCCGACTTGTTGTCCACGCGCAGGACTGTCGGCTTCCCGGCGTCCAGTTGCCGGAACTTGTGCGAGGAGGAAGCGAAGGCGACGTCCCTCCTTGCCAGCTTCAGTGGCCGCAACGTACTCCGACTCGGTCGACGACAACGTCGCGCACTTGATGCGCTGGCTCGACCAGGAGACTGCAGCCCCTCCGTAGACGAACACGTAGCCGCTCGTGCTCGTCCTGTTCTGCTTGTCACCGGCGTTGTCGGCGTCCACGTAGCCGACCAGCTCTAGCGACTCAGGTCCACCGCCGAACTCCAGGGCGGTGTCGCGTGTGTTGGCGAGGTAGGCGAGGCAGCGATCGACCTCGCGCCAGTGCTGGTTGCTCCTCACCGTGAGGCCGCTCCCCAGCTTGCTGCAGGCGAAGGCGACGTCCGGCCTCGTCGTCGTCACCGCGAACTGCAGCGAGCCGACCTTCTGCCGGTACTCCTCCTCCTGCCGTTCCTGCGCCTCCTCGTCATCGAAGGTGAGTTCGGCGTAGGCACCGACCGAGACCGGCGTCTTCGGGGTGCGCCCGGTCTGTTCCTCGTCGAGGAAGCGCCTACGCAGCTTGTCGGCATAGCCCTGCTGGTGCAACCACAGCTTCCCCGCCGACCTGTCGCGCACAATCTCCAGCCCGAGGTACTTCTGCACCGGCAAGATCTCGCGCAGCTCGAAGGCGGCTTCCAGCAGCTCCTTCAACTCCTTCAGCAACGCAGCGCTGCTGCTGGCGGCAAGCAGGTCGTCGACGTAGACCAGCACCCAGCAGGCTACTTCACCCTCGCCGACTTTGTAGTAAAGAGCCTCGTTGACCTGGCTCTTCTTCCACCCGGCGCCGACCAGCACATCGTTGAGCGCCAAGTACCACAACAGCGGCGACTGCTTAAGCCCGTACAGGCTCTTCAGCAACTTACACACCCGGCCGGTTCCGTCGTTGAA